AGGCAAAATGTTGACTGGTAACTCTGATACATGCCATTTATTTGCTTCTAAAATCTGTTTGTTAAAACCTAATAATTTCCTAAAAGTCCCATCTTTAGTAAAATCTATATCTTTAGTACAGTATATTAAAGCTTTTAGAGTGTTATTATTACATTGTACTTTTATTGAGCAATCTTTCATTTCAGATTTTAAATAATCGCTGATATCTTGTAGTTCGTAGGAGCCTTCAGGTATTTCGAGAACTTCGTTAGAGCCATAATATAATTTATTATTTGTTTTGTCGATGTTTGGAATTGAATTAAATGTTGAGAAATGTAATAAGGCACACTCATAATGTCCATCGAGCTGTAATGTATTGGGATAATACGTAGATAAATCAGAGGAGTTTGCAGTTATAGACAAGGTGAGTGACATGATGAAAATGATTTAAATAAAAGACATGCGTAACATTTATACGTATTTATTCCAAAATTTCCAAAGATATTCCAAACATAAGTGTCCACAGTTAAATGTATCAAATTGTTGAAACCTAGTATAATTATAAAAAACATTACAATTTTTAAAGTACTGCATTAATTCCATTGGAGGTTTCAAATCCCCATAGCTATCAAAGTATTCACAATAATTGTTTATTTTAGCATAAGCTACCCAATGCGTTCCTTCATTTCGTGAATCGTCTAAGTTGACGATAGCACATTCAATGCGTTTTGGTGTTTTTGGTAACCGATCCTTCATGTACACTCCTCGAAAGTAAGGAATGTCACGTGCATGCTTACTGATATCAATATTAGTTAAAGGACGATTAGGTAGCCTTTCATTCAGTTTTTTGGAGGTTTTATAAACAACCCTTTACCGCTTTTATGGGGTTTAATATATAACCCTCTGCCCAACGCTAAAGCTTCCATGGTCTTGTTGTGTCGTTCCGTTTCTTGCAAGCTTTTTTGGGCAGCCTTGTATTCGTTTACGGTTTTTGCAATACCGGCTGCACCACCCGCTAAACTTCCTAAAGCAGATAATCCAGCGAAAATTGGGATTAAAGGTAAGACTCCTCCTGTCTTTGGTATGGGTATAACACGGGGTATGCGAATCTTCTGAATGTCTGGAAATATCTTTTTCGCAGCTGAGTAAGCAACGTTGATTAGTGCTTTACTGTTTTTAGGTTTTAGTTTTTTAATTTGTGACTTAATTTTTGACACAAAAGCATTAAATGTTTTAATACCGGCTCCTGACTTTAGTTTGGCTTTCATAACCTTGCTCACTATCCATGAACTAAGTTTTTCACCTTTCCCTGCATCTTTTGATTTTAGTCTTTGTTTAGCCATATTTAAAAGTTGTAAATCAGCTTTGTGACGATTAGGTAAGTCTGTGTGATTTGCATATGCGATGTCGTGATGCATACAAGCTTCATCTAGTTTATTCACACCCCGATCACCTCGCAGCAATCGTTTCTCAAGTTTTGTTCCCGGTCCACAATAGTTATACCCAGGCAAATGAAGTTCGAATGGTAGATTATTAATCACACTGTTGACTAGTCCACTGCCTTGCATAGTAGTCAGTGAAATGAATAAAAAAATCCTTACGAGCTTGGTTATATATTCATAATCCTAACCCACAATTGCATCTTTATCAATCCAACTATTTTCTTCGTTGCTTAAGCCCAACCATTTCACGTAAAGTTTCTTTCCTTTCCTTTGAAGAACCTTTTCTATCAAATAAACACCTGGATAGCTAGTTTTTTGAAGTTCTTGTTCGTAGAAACAACCTCTAATGGGTTGCTTTCGATGATCTTCTAAACGATATGTTACTGGTATGGTATTATTAATCCTTTTTACAGTAAATACTTCGGTTGACCAATTAGGCGTGTAACCTTTGTCAAAAATATGTTTGTATTTACTGATCCGAACATTTTCACCCACTTTGAATTTAGGACCACATTGTCGTGAAGTTAGTTTTTGAGATTTTTGAATATTTTCTTTTATCTTTGACTCGTTCAACTTATTTACCTCGAATGGTTTGAATTTGATGGTGCGATGTTTTGTACTATTATAGGTTTTTACAATAACTTCTAATGGTGAACCTAACCATTTATAGTTCCCAATCAAACTAAAGTATTTATACATTTTATTTTTAATTGTTTTAATTACCCGTTCTACAATTGAAGCTTTCGTGGTAGAAAACGTGGAGTAGTGGTTAATATTGTAGCTCTTCATAAGCTTTTGGAATGTAGTGTTATAAAATTCTGTTCCAAAATCAGTTTGTAAATTATCAGGTTTTCGTTTGCTGGTAGTTAGTATTCGCTCAAATGCACGAGAAACATCTAGTTTACTTTTGGATTTTATTGGTTCTGTCCAGGTGTACTTTGAGAAACAATCAATCACTACTAAAATGTAACTATAACATTTATTAAATTTTTTTAGGTTTTGCATATCTATCAGATCAGCTTGCCATAAGTCATCTATACCTTTTATAATAACTGAACGTCTAACAAAATTTCTTCGTGCTGCTTTGTGTAATTCATTAACAATTTGTTGTTTTACCATCATGGAGAGTTTTTAGATAATTTTTGTACTTCCGCTTTGTTATAAAACTTATCCTCCAACTGGATTAAAATGTCAGGTATCTTCGCTTTTAAAGTAGCTTGGACCGTTATTTGTGCTTCTTTTATGATTTGAGCACGCAACAACCCGATCATTCTATTCTGCTCCTTTATAGTCTGATCGCACAATCGATCAACGTAATCCTTGTTGACGGCATCATCTGGATCTACAGGAGATCTGATTCCTCTCAATCTACATTTTTTCAAGTCAAAATCACCACTTTCCGATTTTAGCAATGCATTTCCATTGAACTCTAATAATTCAGAGAAACGCATTCTCTTATGAATATGGTGACCGAATTTATCTACATTCATATTTTAGTTGTATTATATTTAAAGGTTGATAGTAAAATGAACAGCAATTTTTTTTTACCATTTATTTATTACTTAATATATTTACTTTCACGTAGTTCTTCAATAATAGATATAATTTCGTTGTCTAATCCAGTGTTACCAGCGTCTCGAGATGCAATCAATAATTTTAACCTATCCACAAGTTCATTAGGATCATCCCAATATATAAAATCTGTATCTTTCTTCCACATTTTTGTCAAAGGTAGCCCTTTTCCTTTTGATTGATTGTTTTGAATAGCAGTTGGCGGTTGAAAAAGAGGTTTTATGACTTGCATATATTTTTGTCCCTTATTACTTTTTATTGGTTTGTTTGAGTCAAAGTCTCGACGATGTGCGTTTGTTGTAATCAACATCATTTTATAATTCTGCAGATCAGATTCTTTAATCATGCTCAAATCTACGTCCTTTTTTAATAACAGTTGTCTTAGTCCAGGAGTGCTTGGATATTTCCGTCCAGCGACGGTGATATAATTGTCACTGATCGTTATGACAGCAGAACCTAACATCAGTTGTCCTTGCGCCGTACGAACACCAAACGGGATATCTGAAAGTGCTTCTGAAGATATTGACCAGGATGATGTATTTGTCTCTGGATTGTTGTCTCCCAAGGATTGGTACGACTCGTCACTGTCTGTATAACATTCATTTTCTTCCACGTCACTTTCTCCTCCGTTTATAGTATAGTCTTGTTGCAATGTATCGTTTTTGCACGGAATTTTTGTTTCTTCAACTTCTTTAGATCGCAAGGGGTCAGTTTGCTTATTGCTGTTAGCAATTAAATTAAGAGACTCTGTTACAGGTCTAAAAACTGATTCTAATGCCTGCTTATTCTCAGTGTCAAAATCTCGCATTTTTCGTATTTTTTTCTTTACAGCTTCTGCAGCATCAACAATTTGTATTTTCAATGATTTTTCCATAACGGTAGACTATGATTGTTATCGCTTAAGAGTCGGTCAAAAAGTAATGATATCAAGTAAGCATCATAGTCTTAAATATTTGTATTTCTAATCAAAGACTACAAATGTATCAAATTTATTTCTATAACATCCGTTATTTTTATTACAGTCTTTATTAATTACAACATAATTAAAGGGTTCACTCCATATTTTAGAACACATTTCTCGAAATTCAAGCCATGTCATATCAGTGTTAACATGTTCTTCATAAACATGCCTCAAGTTAATATCATCTTGTTTAAATAATACTATTAAATTAGCATTATCTCTTACTAACTGCTTAGGGATTTTGCTATATGTTTGATTTAGATAAAAACAATCTATGTGTTTATGCCTCCCCATTGCGAAATAATCACGCATGTTAGTTTGATTCTCGCAAGCAACGTCATCGAATATAATTACAGAGTTGGGTTTTGCGTCCTGAACGCTTATAACTTCCTCGTTCCCTTGATATTTCTGGAGTGAGATATTTGGTACCCGTTGTAATACTTTTTCTAAAAAAATGTACTTTGGTTGGTGTAAGGTTTTTGAATAAACATAAACATTTTGAAACCGTAAACCATTTTCATGTATAAGAAGTCCAATAAGTAAATTAGTTTTGCCACAATTCGATGGTCCGCAAATAATACATCGTACTGAATTAGGTAACAATTCTCCATGACGCAAACTAGTTTTACAAAAGTCACCGCAAATCGTGCCTACATGCAGCGATTGTGGTTGTTTAACAAATTTCATGATTTCTGTTGTCAACGAACTGATTAGTAATGAGTAAAATTTTACTTCCACAATCTTTATAAACTTAAACAGCCTACCTAGCTACTATCTATTTTACGTTCATTTATCGGAAGTAAAATAACTTGAACTATCGTTGGTCGAGTAGAGAGTCGAGTCGCTTATTGGTTATTGGGCATTCTATTCCACTATCGGTAGCGAGGCGCACTCGCCGAGCGACTTGCCGATAGTGGAATAGAATGCCCAATAACATACTACTCTAATAGATAGGCGAACTCCAGTGTAGGTCTTATCATAGCCAAATCCAAAAAAAAAATCTACCAAAGATTCATTAACTTTACTTTTTCTACCGTATTCAACAGGAAAGAAAAACAATACCGTGCTCCCAAGAAGAATTCTCATGCGGACTTCCATGCGGGAAACCCCTTCCTTGCGGCAAACACACGTGTATCAAAACCTGCCATAAGGGACCCTGTGATACTGGCAAGTAAGTACCGTACATAATGACTTGATTTCCTCATGGATTATTTCTTTTGAACCTTTGCATTTAGACTTGAGCTATCAAAATGACCTGTTGTAATCTGTATTTACAATAATAAATATTATTGTCCTGTTTAGATGCACCCAGCCATGCATGGAGAAGCGTCCGTCGTGCGGACACCCTTGTGCGGCGCCTTGCCACGTGGGCGCGAGCGGGGGCGCGGGGCCGAGTAGTAGCGGGGGCGCAAGTGGTAGCGGGGGCGCGAGTGGTAGTGGGAGTGGTCAGGCGACGGCGTGCCCTAGCTCTGCGCCCTGCCGCCGCCTCGTGCGCGCCACGTGTCCCTGCTCCCGCAGGCACGCCGAGCGTACCTGCGCTGACAACGCCAGGGACTATGCCAAGTTAGTACCTTACAGCATACATGAAGTCCACATTATCTGGAAATTATTGGAGAAGCTTAAGTTCAACAGTGAATACCTTTTCTTCTGGCACTGATAACCTCGAATTACTGTTTTTACTTTAAACTGACTATGCTTTCTCTTTAACAGGATGATGAGCGCTCTGGCTGCCACCAAAATGGCAGAGGGAGGTACAGTGGACGTGTCTGAAGTACAACGCCCCAGCAATATGCTCAAAACGTAAGAAATAATGCTTTAAATGTTCAAGAATTTCAGAAGTAGAGATATTTTTCAAAGTCCCTCATCATCATCATCAGCCCATTCAAAGTCCCTTTTCTACCAAAATTGTAAGAAAGTAGTTGAATGGACTAAATTTCGGAATCTAGTAACATGTTGATACTTTCTTAAGATTTGATGGGTAACTGATGAAAAGTATATGAAAGGTGTTGAAATGTGGGTATATGTCCCCAGCTTGGAATGCGACGACGAGTGCCGCGTAGAAGCGCGGACCCGTCAGTTGGCGCTGGCGCTGCAGATCCGCAACCCCGACGTGTCGGCCAAGCTGGCGCCGCGCTACAGCGAACACGTCCGCGCCACCGCCGCGCGGGAGCCCGCCTTCGCTAACCAAGTCCATGAAAAGCTCACTGAACTCGTGCAACTTGCTAAAAAGGTAACCCAAGTTCCATGTTCAATAGGCATTATTCAATCGTGGTGGACGGAGGTTAAGGCCCCACTCATGCATGAGGGCACGAGTTTGAAATCTTGCAAGCACAAATGTGACTTTCCGAATGCTTTCTAAGATTATTTAGACACCACTGACAAACAGTTAAGGAAAACATCGTGAGGAAAATTAGACTTATAATTACTAATTATAAGTTTAAAATCGCCAATCCGCCTTGATCTAATATGGTGATTAATGCTCAAACCTTATCCGTGTGAGAAGAAGCCTTTGCTCAGCAGTGTACACTAAACTTATAGGCTGATAATGTGATACAACTATTTGAGTAATAAATAACCTTTAACATCAAAAAACTTCAGTTTCTTCCTAAATACTGATGTTCTTGTTACAGTCAAAACAAAAGACTCGTGCACACTCTTTCCCGTCAATGAACCGACAGAAGCGTCAGTTTATCCACGAGATGTGTGAACACTTCGGTTGTGAGAGCGTTGCCTACGATGCTGAACCCAACAGGAATGTTGTAGCCACCGCTGATAAGGAAAAGGTAATTTCAAAAAATATTCATCCTATTTTAATTTCACAATAATATTCTAGTCATCAATCTCAAATCTAGTCACAATAATGTCTCTGAGCTCGATCACATCGATATAGCAAACAGAACATTGTGAATTGTGTAATGCGATAAATAAATGCTAACGTTTTTGAGCACTCATATTTTCAAAAGTCATACACAAAAGAAATAAAAGGATCGGAAACACAAAGATTTTAGTCCTGAATAACAACTAAGTTTTATCCTGGCAATGTCAAATCGAAGTAGCTGGGAATAAACATTAAATAAACTTAACAATTTTAATGTAACTTTGTTCCGTAGTCATGGCTACCAGCAATGAGCGTGATGGAGGTGCTAGCTCGCGAGGCAGGCAAGCGTCGTGTCCCGGGCCCCGTACTGCGCGCCCCGCCCGCCGCCTCGACCTCCTCGGGGCCAACCTCCGGAACTGCACAAACCTCTAACTCTGCCTCTAATAAGTACGTATAACCATCGAGACTAAAAAGTCTCCAGTTCGATTCCGAAATTAGACTGCCTGTATCCTGGTAACATGATGACTGGCGCGGTGTCCGGGTAACTGGCTGCCGCGGGTTCGATTCCCGCACGGAATAACTCTTTGTGTGATTTACAAATTGTTCTGGGTCTAGGTGTGGTGTGTATGTGAATTGTATGTTTTTAAATGCACCCACGACACAAGAGAAAAGTCTAGGGTAGGCAACATTCTTTATTTTTTGTTTAATTGGTTAACAAGTCGTATGTAAAAAGTAATATTAAAATAATTAATCATCATTGTCTAACTAACTTGTCATTTGGTCTCAGATCATCAAGCGGCTGGGCGACCTTAACTTCAACGAACGCTTGGGCTGCTCGCAGCCAGCCAAAGCAGGCAAGCCAACCACAGCCAGCAGCCGAGAAAATCGACTACTTCGACAACCCGCCCGATAACTAGTCGACTAGCTCAAATTGTAGCGTAGGTACGTACACTCAGTGCATTTTATACGCGACGTTTTCATTATTATTTTTGCTCTATCAACCTTTTATTTTTGGGCAGGCGCCATTTTGATTTTGCTGTATAACTATTAAACAAAAACTTTATTTAAGCAATAGTCTATGAAAGTTTTTTTTAATATTATCATGCTTAATTTTATGATATTGGAGGAAAAAATCTGTGTAATTAGATAAGAAACATGACAATATTCATGATATTTATTAGCTTTGCATAAGACAGATTTGTAAATTATAGTTACACTGCAACTGATGCTGATTTTGTTCAATATTATAATAACTTGCAATTTTTGTTTGATATAAATAAAGTTACATTTGCTATTGTCTTATGAGCAAGTTCCTCATAAAGTGATCTCCCAGCTATTTATATATTTATTTAGTCCTTTAGTGAATTTAATGCACACGGCTTTTTCTCTCCTTTTTAATGCACTGAGTGTACATCGACAGACAATAGAGTCAATTTTATAAATGTTTACTATTCTTATTGTAATGTAAACTATATCAAAATATCAAATAGGTAATAAATATAATTTTTATGGGGCTATTAACATATTGGGGTGGATGGAAAGTCTAGTGAATGGAAACAGTAAGTGAATCATAATTAAAGGGACTAGCTGACCTTATCATACGTGTCATTTACACCTATCCTATTATCTCAGGTTAAAAGCCATACTTCAGGAAATATTCTTAAATTATCATTATCGAAATTGGTTCAGCTATCCACGAGTTATGCACTTAAAAACACAAACAACGATTATTTTTATATTATTGACGAATAAGGCATGTCTTTAATAAAATAATTTTACTTAAATTATTAGATTATTTATGTTCATGCAATATTAAGATTGCATTTTAACATGTCCTTGACTTTCCATTTACCCCATTCTAACCAATAAATTCCATTCGGCATCTTAATGGATTTATAGCGGAGGAGTGTCTGCTTTTTGCATAATTAATACAAAATTTATAAAAATATTTATGAATAATTCCAAATTGTATGTGCCTATACACAATCTAAATGCCGTTCAAATACCGAATTATCGCCTCAAGTCTTGAAAATGTCAATGACTGGCAAGTTTCATTGTGTGTAGGCCTACTTAAAAAAAATTAGCACAAAATGTAAAGCACCTTATATTAAAAAGCTAGACCCCCTTTACCCATCCTAATAAATCAGCAATTGCTTCAATCATTTATGAAACATAATTAAATATTTATTCAAAGCACGCCCCACAAATGACACTTCTATATATTATGTCTATGTTTCAGATATTTACCTAAATGTTTAGAAATTAATATTCGTATAGATTCGTGTTACAGATATTGTTACCCGACTATAGTTGTTTTTTTGCCTATATTTATAAACAGCCTTAACCAGGCGTGGTATTTTTTGTTAAGACCGCTGTCGTTATATTTAATATACCACGTACAAGTAATTTTACTTGTAATTTCTATCCTACAGTCAAGCCCCAACAAACTATAGTCGGGCTTTAGTTTTAATAAATGTCTATGCATGGAGCACCCAGTAAATCTTAAAACATAATTCGTACAATTAGTGAAACATGGTTAAAAGAGACCTCTCTATATCTTTGTTACCAAAATATGGGAAGATACCTGATACGTCTGGTAGAAGTACATTCTGACGTTATCAAGCACTGGGAGCACCACGTAAGAATACTCCTTAAAGCATATTCTGGATATTGTGATAAAATAAAATACAAAAAAAAATGTATACTAGTTGAATGTTTCATTGTTTACAAGATTTCCTAAATGTTGTAATTCCAGCCTTAACGATGCACATTTTGATAGCTATCAGAACATTGATAAGATTTTTTTCATTTTAACTGTTCAGAAACATCGCATTCATAGATTTTAATACATAAAGTATACTATTTATATGGCCAAATAAATGTTTATATATATATATTTAGACATTTGTCGTAAACAGATACAGATACAGCATTATATGTTACCACTTACAATGTTTAAAACATTATACTTGATGTTATACTTATTATGTTCCTACCATATATTTTTGTGATTATATTTTTTGTTCTACTGGCCTTAGTCCGATTTAATTTGAGCATAAATAATGACGGCAACATTTTTCGATTTCGAGATCGCGAATGATGTATTTTGTTGTTTTACTTAATAAATTCCTTATCAACATCCTCCAAGTAGAATTATGATGAAGACCAAATGATGGCCAGTAATCATATTAAAATGTGTGAATACATAATTCGCGAATCTTACCATCGTTTGTGCCAGGGACTACTTAAATATGTAGTTGGACTTCCAATTACAATATCCCTTCATAATTCAAGGTATTAAATTGTAATGCCTCTGGGTCTACTGTAATGTTTTCTGTGGAATAGAAAGTCCAACTCGAGATCAAATTGGTGTATTGAAGAGGGCTTTCACGCATCGCTAGGGGTGGTATCGCGGTGTAAGCTCTATTGACCAATAAAATATTTGCTAATGCATGTTGAATGGGCATATAATCTTACGCCTCGATACCACCAACTAGCGATAACAAACACGAAAAGAAAATTGCACAAATATTAATAAATGTTGCATCATTTGTATATTAGATATTTATATAAATGGGAAATCGTAGGTTATTAAATTCCAAAATAAAATTCAGACTTTTTACCAACTTTTTCCTTTTACTCAAAAAATAAACGGTGAAGGGGATGCGTTCTTATGAAACAATTTCGATGTAACTTCTACGTAGAAATCCATAAAAATATTGTAACTAACTTAAATCGCTGTTGTACAGGCGACACGTGTATTAAAGTGTTACATATTTGTTACGGCAGTTTTTTATTTTGTTGTAATTTCATTATATTCTTATCAGCATTATTATAATTTCCTGCCAACGCTCAACGTCACGAAACAGATGCTGCGTAAGTACAATGAATTTAATAGTGAATAAAACAGAAATATATAATAATTGTTTAATGTGGAACAATAATTTCACGTATTAGAGTCGTCAATGTCCATTAATATTCTATCTATATATCGAGCTATTTCCAACATGGGGTTCAAGGCCTTATTGCGGTTACTACATCGTTTTCTTGAGACCTTAGGAAACTTTTCTGACAAATTATCTGGCCATTGACTGCAGCTTGAAGAAGATGCAAATACTTTCGAAGTTTGGATCTTGGGGACGCTGTGCCATAGTTCATTAGAGCGCCGTCTTGTCCCTGCCTCCCTGTCTCTCCGCGAGGATCGTCTACAAAGAGGCTGCCAACCGTAGTCTGAATGACGTGTTTTAGCCCACGTTCTCGTTTTTTTCCTTGTCAATGGCTGCGAAATAATGTAATTTTAAAATTAAAATTAGATGAGCGTTCTGCTCGTCCCTGACTAAAGAATAAAGCTTACCTTACGGTCACATATTTTACTGCATTTTCTTGATTGTGCTGATTTTTTCCGTTTTAAATCATAATTCTCGTTGGACACAGCCGATTCGTTGTAATTAGCATACTTTATTGGTGAGACGTAAGGCTGCAAAATATTACCTACAAATTAATTATAAAACTATCAAACTCTGTAAAATAGGTACATTTAGCTATAATATTTTTTTGCCCTTATTCGCATTGCCTTTCTCTTATCAAACGTCATTCCACCATACTGGGAACTTCAATCTATCATCCATCTTTTGTGGTTTTTTATTGTAACGCCGCACTCCTGCCCACAAATTATTGCACACGCAGCAGTGCAGTGTTACAATAAAAAACCACACACAAATATAACACAGTCGAAAACCATTTCGTTCCTATATGGAGAATCCCCCAAAGATGGCTCGTTGAGACAGCCGCTCTTCGAATTTCATTTCTTTTTAAAAAATAATACCAAGATAAAGCCATTTTACTTCAGGAAAATATCGATATAAATTTCACAATGTTAATTCCGAGCCGCTGGAAAACCATCTTTCACTCCTTAAAGAATCTCATATCTACACAAAGAGCGTGTACGTACCTACGTCTGTTAAGTACACTATAACGATATTACTCACACATGCTGTTGACGCCTCTACGCAATACATCACACGCCAGTACCGCCGTCAAAAACTGAGAGCTATAATCGCAGTAAGTGTTACCTAAAAATAGACCATCATTCAGTAAAACAAATACCATGCGCTACACTAACTGTTAATTAATCATTTTGAAAAATCACCATGGTTCAGTTGTACAACTTGATATGCGAATGATACTAGCCGAGACCACATCGCGATTAAATTGCTATTAGATTCTTGATTGGTTTTTTTGTTAACCGTATCGTCAGTCGGCTCACTTACGACGCCGACGCCGACAGTTGTCACACTCTCATCTTCATCAGAGATCTTATCTACATCTTCAAGTTTCGTTAATTTTTCAAGACATCGTAGGTCTTCTTTAACTGCATCGAATTGCATATTTATATCCTCAGCTATAGAGTTCGGCATGAATTCCATTTCTTTGGGTGATAACAATTCGTCGGGAAGCTGTTTCTGATTCTCCACTACGCTGTTAACACTTCCCACATAACTACAATTATCATCCTTAGATTGTTCTTCAGCACCATTGTAGCTGTCCATACAGCTCGCACTCACAGACAAGCAGTCTCGACTGAACGAGTCTCCGGACAACTCGGTACCAGTAACTTGGGTCATTTGCTCGTCGTCGTTGAGTGCACAGAAACTATCAAAGAAATCGTCGTTGCTAGCGCTGACTGATGACCTTGTGCTCTCGCTTTTATCTTTCTTTATTCGAGACTCGCTGTGACAAAGTCCAAATTGGTCGTATAGCTTTCGTCTAGCCCGCCGCTCAGACAATTCCTGCCGCAAAATTCTGTCCTGATACGAGCGATCTTTCAGTTTCTGAGCAGCATCCAACTGGCTTTTTTCAAGAGACTTGTATTGCTCGTACAGGTACCAAGAGCGGACCCGGTGTGACTTTTTATCAATAGTGTCTAGATCTGAAAAGCAAACTTTCTACTTTAGCAATGACAACTCTGTGGATGCTTGCTTTCGTAAAACCATGACACTTACCAAGAGAATCCAAAAACTCCATATCACGATAAAGGCAAATATTGTAATGACTTTTGATTGACGCGCTAAATATAATATTTGGATTTACATATTTTAAGCTAATTTGTTACTTAATTTTCTTTGCGTAGGGGTGTATCGTAAATCGGTTTTTCAATGCTTTTTCTGCCAGGCCAGAAGTTACCAAATCTTGTGTACCTAATTTAGTTTGACATGCATTATGAACAATTCCATATATTATAATCGACTGCCAGCTACGTAGGAGACACCGAGCTCTTTCGTGGTTTCTTTACACTCAAAGAAGGAAACCATGTAAGTAGGTAAAATTAAAATACCGTGACATAGGTAAGCATTGATCATTTTAACCATAGCTCTATCTACTGCGTCTACAAAATAATATTCCCAACATGCCCAACGAAGGTCTTTCATACGGGTTACATTATGAGAACTTTCAAACAATTACACGAAAAAGAGAGGAGTAGGTACTTCAGCCATCCGATATATCCATATTAGGTAGCACTTAATCTTATAACCTAGAAATGGTTTTATTAGCTCGAGGCTCGGCCTCTTATTTTTGATGGAAAGCAATCAGCGCCGCCTATGGACAATTGGCTAAACACAACGCTATGATTGTTCAACGCCGGTTTTCTGTGAGGCCTTGGTATCACTCCGGTCGGACCGTCCCATTCGTGCCGAAGCATGGCTCTCTTACACTATAATATAACTGACGAAAGAGCGTGTTAGGATAATTCAATTATTGCCTAAAGCAGCTCTTGTGTAATCCTTTCCAGAGAGAGAAAGAGTGAAAGGAATTAAATCATCGCCCAACCATAAGATTTTATCTCAGCCTCGGCCCAGAGGAAGAGAAGGAATAGCGTTAGTCAGTAAGGCTAAGAACTCACGGAGCGATTTTGAACCGTGCCCGCCGCGGTAGCGGAACTGCGTTTATTTTTCCAAACTCACGAGACCGGTTATTTGCGCGGTTACACAGCCGCCGCGGTTGCGATCATCTCCCGCAAACGTGGCGGGCGATGATCGCAAGATTGCAAGACGGGCGGTTAACGATCAGTTGAGGTCCAGACCGCCATGGACACCAGAAACGAGCCGTTGCGTTATATTTACTTCACAGAAGATCGCCAACCGATCGCAAAGCGCGCGGGTTCCACCCGCCGAGGCTGCGGGTAACCGCGGCCCGCGCGATTCTACTAGTTGCCCGCCGGTACAGCGGGAGCCGCATACAACCGCGTACACCGCGGGCGTAAAACGCGTCGTGAAATGTGCTTTAATTTTTTATATAAATATTTGAATTCTACAGAAGCTGCGGGCCCGCAACCGCAGCGGACGCGGGCGAAAATCGCTCCGTGAGTTCTTAGCCTAAGAGTCTGAGAGTCTCGTGGCCCAAACAGGGCAACAGATGGTTAAAAAAATAACACTACTGATTTTCGACTGTCATTTTGATTTTGAATTGAGATCAGCCGTTATTTACCATCACGTACCTAATTCATTATTTATCAGGTAATTAAAGAATAGGGTAGGTACCTTCTTCCTAAATAGGTAGGTATTGATTTATTGTCCACATTAAATGAAGCAGATGATAATAACAGCAAAACAGAAAACAACAGCAAAATGTATTTAATAGATCACACGAGTTTTTACAAACAAACATAACGAAGACACAACACACAACTCTGTATTGGAGAGGTAAATAAAATAGTGAACATGCTTGCCCGTGCAACAAACGACCCTTATTTGCATTGAAACAAAAAACCTAGAAATACTAATTAGTACAAAAATGATCGATAAATACCTATTTAAATTAATGAGCAATCCAATAAAGAAACGACACTTATTTTAATTACGTACATGGGTTGAGTTGTGATTAAACTCACCGATAATTACCTACGCTTTGCTCACTAGCAACAAATTTTTAAAACTAATACATACTTCACTCCTTTCATTTTCAAACTGTAGCCCGCTCTCGCAGCCTGGCGCCAATATTTAGAAAAATCACGATCACATATTATTAATCCCGGCCATTTATAAAGTGGTGTTTTGGTGGGTATAACAACTCAATCGATTTTTAAATACCAACGCTATTACCACTAAGTAGGTACTATTAAGGTATATTATTATATTATCATTTATGAATAGTGGCAGTTTGAAATAATGAGCCTAATTGTGTAAATTGCTTTAATACACACGATGGCTTTTTTCATTATGGGGATCCAAATTAGATAAAGCCCCTGACACAATACCATAATAACCCTAATCAATAATAATTGTGATTTGATTAATAAAGGTGAATTATTTTTTCTAAGCGACTGGTGAAGTTAGGCATTACTCACAATAAAGATAATTTATGCGCCTCATTCGTAATAATCTTCCTGGGTAGGTAAATTATGTTCGAAATTAGTACCTCTACCTATTATTTAATAATCGGTACGACTGTTACACTCATTTTCAAGTAAGGTCAGTTTAAAAACTGGCAAAATGACTATCAAATTCATAATGTTAAGTTTCCTAAAACGTTCACGTTGTTATGTAAGCCCAGCGAATTAGATGTAATACTTTTCCTCTTTAACATTTTAACATTAAAATAATAAAAGTAAGAAAATTTTCGGAAAAGCCTAATAAAAGAATATGGCACCACCCGCCGGTTGCCGGCTGTAACCAGGGTTAGTCTGGGATGAATGTACTCCAGAGTTCATGAGCTTCACGCTAAATTGAGATCGACGTTCCTTTATTCCACCCCGTTTCATTGGGTGCCCCTGTAATTGATAGAAACGTAAAATATAGAATTGCAATGTAATATCCTGAAATTTGAAATAGATCAACTCAAAATTTAACCATACCAAGGGTATTATGACCGGTGGGCATTTATCGAAAGTGTTCCGCAGTCGCCGCCAAGTATCACAACCAATAGTTTCAGGTTGTAAATACAAATCCTCTTTATCTGGGAATCTCTCAGTAGAATGATTGTAGGTCGTAGCTAATACGAAATCCAAACTGTCTTTTGGCAAACTAAAATAGATAAAACATATGTATTTTATTTTATGTTAAAATACTTTACTTACCATAAAATAAAATTGATCATATTAAAAAAATATATGTAACTTACAAGAAAGGATGATAAAAACTTAATCGCCTGACACTAGCAAGTGTATGGTGTGAAAAAAGTCTAGAGCCTGTTGTTCCAATGTGTTTATTTTGGGTTGAGAGCAAAATATCCTTGCTAAGTTCACCCTCTTTTCTTAAATCGGGCACAAGAGTTTTATTTCTGACTTGTTTTATACCAGCCATTATGCTAATTTAGATATTAACTACGGAGATTTCTAAGAATCCAAAACCAAATGCAAAGACAGACAGAAAAATTGATAATTTATAATGTACTACAATAGATTTTTTGACGTAATACAATTTGTTTTCACCCATAGCAACCGCGTAGACACAAACAAAAACGCATAGCAAAGTATTATAGCAGAGAGTTTTTATAACAAACACAACGCAATTCTCGTTGTTTGCCTATTAATTATTTTACTTAGTAATTTATTTATCAGTTTGTTTCAACATAGGATTTAGCTAGGTACGTAAAAATTGGAAAGTCGAGCCAAAAGCCATGTACTTAAAAAATGGCAACATTGACAACATCCGCTTGCAGTCGTTTCTAGTCGTCACATTTCGTCTTCCGGGAGCCATATTTAATTTAGCGCTTGCACGCTGTGGTCGTTCGTTTAGTTTCGTGACGCCATATTAGTTTCTTGTGGAGGCTGATTGTGAATATACATTATATTTGTGTACGTTGGTGAAGATCTAATAAATATAAACCAAGATGAGTTACGGAAGGCCGCCGCCGCGTATCGACGGCATGGTGTCGTTGAAAGTGGACAATCTTACGTACCGCACAACGCCTGAAGATTTACGGCGTGTGTTCGAAAGATGTGGTGAAGTTGGTGATATCTACATACCCAGAGATCGGTACACCAGAGAAAGCAGAGGATTTGCTTTCGTCAGGTAATTTACGTTTTTGTGTGTGTATATTGAAAGTATTTGTACGTATTCGCGTAAGTGACGTCATGGGCTGTTACCGGTAAAATACCATGCCCTCTGCTAGTCGCGTCGGCATGCTTTGAGTTGAAATTTGAATATTCAGAATTATTGATATTAACTTAAAGACCGTAAAAGTGTTAGGTATAGTTAATAAGAGCCTGAGGTTTGAAATAATTTTATCATGTTTTAGATTCTACGATCGTCGAGATGCCGAAGAAGCTTTAGACTCGCTTGACGGGCGAATGCTTGATGGTAGGGAGCTCCGTGTTCAGATGGCTCGTTATGGACGTCCCTCCTCTCCATACAGGAGCCGTTACGACCGTCGTCGCAGGTAGCGTATAATATGTTAATGCTCATCTTTTCTAGCTGACCATAGAACTTCCTTATTGCTAAATTTGTTTCATATCTTGTTATTTCTTGAATTTATTTAACATTTAGAGAGTACAAATATTATTAGTAGACCTATACATGTAGTTTTTGTTATTTCAGTCAGTAGTCATGAATGGAAGTCCAATAAAATTATATATTGTTATGCTTTAAAGTTCCAAATCTATAAAAGAATTTTAAAACACTAAGCTTTTTCATAAAATACCACTTATCTTACACAAGCATACCTTCTAAATCTCAAAATATTTCAAGTCAAGGGTAATCTGGTTTGGAGTGGTCTTTATTATTAGTAACATGCTATTGTTACTCCTTTTTCTATAAAACCTGAAACATTCAGAAGGGGCTTTTTGGGGTGAGAAAATGGGTGTGGGCTTTTTACCTGACTTCACCTACACAACCTTCAGATCTGTAGATGTAGAAATACTCCAAAGGCTTTGGTGTAACACCTCATGGCACATTCCTAGAATGACTTTAGTCTCCCTTGAGCTTTGCTATATATGAGGAGGCACTACTTGAGCTATGCCAATTTAAAATTTAGTAGAGATTCCGAACTACTGCTAATGTAGAAGATTTTACAAAGTCATATGTAATTCTTTATTCAATAATCTGTATTTAAATAACAACGAAACATGTTTTTTGCATGTTGTGTTTATTACAAATTTTATATCTAGCATGAAGGAAGTTTTATTTGCTTACTGCTACTTCAGTTTATACATTTTTAATTCTTTTTTGTTAATATGCCTATATCTGCATATTGGTCAGCTAGAACACTAAATTATCTCACTAATTTTGATTGTTTAGCTCGCATTGACTGAGGTGGTACATGTTGCAATTGTGTAACTCCGATGTCTGCGGGTGCATTTATCACACCAGGAGGGGCGCTTGCGTCACTGGCTTGATTAGAGAATGTATTCATATCTTTGTGTGATGGTTATTCTTTTAGCAACTCGCGTTCACGGTCTCGTTCACGTCGTCGATCCAGGTCTCGTTCCCGATCCCGAAGGCGGTCACGCTCTTACAGCCGCAGCCGCTCTCGCTCTCGCAGTCGTTCCGACTCTAAGAGCTCTCGTGGACGCTCCCGCAGCCGTTCCCGCTCACGATCACGCTCTAGGCATTGAAATGCTGAGTAAGTGTATTAAACTTTTTGTTTAAATATATTTCATAAATAAAGAATATGATAGTAAAGTTATTTTTTTTATCAGCTTAAAGCTAATCATATTTTTATCTTGATTACCATGTAATTTATCTTGTGTGACTATTATAATATTTGACTACTGAAGTACATTAAAAAGAAATTTGTATCGTACTTATTACATTAATCAATATAATAATGTGTCTGATTAACACTGCTTGTTGTTCCAGGTTGAGAGTACCAGCTGTGAGCTGAAGTGCTGTGCCACATGTCTCTGAGCAGACTTCAGCCAAGGTACTAAAACTCATCAGTTACTCATAAGCCATCCACAGACCTAACTATGATCAACATAGTGGCAAAACATGCAACGTAACAAATTATATTTTAAGTTCCCTTACTTTAACATAGGCTAACTACATTATGTAAGAATTGTAATCTTTACAGATTTTCACACTTTTACTTTTTGTTTGTATAGATTTCCATTCAATTCTAAAACATATGTATTTGAATATGAATTACTAAATACAATAAACTGAATTGAGTTTATTTCATATTTATGTCAAAATACTTGTTGTATTTTATTTTTACATAAGGGATCTGTCATTGTAAAATTATTCAGTCACTTGTATTTGAGTCTTCATATTGTAATACAATAGTATTGTATTTTTTATTAATCAATACTAGGTTTAAGACCAATGTGGTCTAAGATATTATTTCAGGTTAATAATACAAAATATCTGGAAGATCATTGTACCCACCACAAGTGATTATGGGGCTAAATTGGGCATTAATGTGGGACATCATCATTCATGATTCTTGGTAAATAACTTGTAAGAATGTGATGCCTGGAGTCGTTAGTTTCTATACTATATACTTTATGTACTATCTTTAACATTGTCAATAACCACTTTTATCATAAGTAGTAGGCCTTTGCTTATCAACCTGAACCTTTTGATCACTATTTTTAGTCGCGAGTGTATTAAATTCAAACTTTTCAATATAAAGACTTCTGTTAGTGACTGAAAGGTTGCAATGGCTTTTTAGATATGTTTATAATCAACAGTAGAGCATGCGGCCTATTACTTACGACTCTTACTCTTAAGTACAGCATTTTTGCAAATATTGTAACTATAACTGATTCTATAATATTAATCGAAATGTTGGTATGCTCAGGGCGTGGAGTACGCGGGGAGCGAGGCTGTATGCGGGGAGGGTGGGTTTGCTGTTTGCTGACAACTGCTGAATTGCTGTTGTTGCCGTACATAAGTTATGAGTAAACTTTTATATTTATTGACAAACCGAGACTCGCATAAAGTAGGTAAACATACGACTTCTTAACACGTAGATTGGGTATATTTTTTTACACTCGGCACATAGGGTGGTACATCGCGTCCATAACTCAACGTAAATTCATTTCATGTCTTAATGCTGTCTCTAATCCAAATACTTATCGACCGATACAAACTCAGCAGAGAACAGAAAACATTCATTAGGGACGTCGTCATTGCGTCACACAAACCCAGGGAATAAACGCGTGACGTAGGTGGCGGCCGGCAGACCAGCAGACTGCGAACTAATATACTCGTTTGTTTGGCAGGCCGGTGCTGCACGCTGGCCTGTTTGCTGTGGCAGTATCCTGTGCTGATTTGCAGATTCGCATGCGGCTAGGTTTATCGGTAAAATGGAACGCCCTCCCTGCCTCTCCGGTTAACGAGCGATCTAAGTACATGATGCGGCTTATATTTTTTTTATTTAGCACTAGAGTCACTCGTTAGTATTTTGAAGGAATGCTTGACTGTACCATTTAATAACTTTGAAGATTGAGTCAAGATCATCGAAGATGAAGACGTCTGGCACTGGATATAAGTAGGTTTGGTCGGAAATAAATTAATTAGAAATATTTATGGTTTTTATTTATCATCTCTAAATGAGGCCCATTTACCTACTCATATTACTTACACAGTTTTCAATTTGCTCAAATTAAATACTTTTACTAGAACTCGTAGGTACTTACATAGTGGTCTAACTTCCCCGCTAATGGCTAAAGTATTTTTTCTTTTCCAATTATTCTTACTAAAATTTTCTTTCGAGAAAAACACTACGATAACAATTGGCTAAACTGGTACAGCCGTGGTTGAGTTCAGTGCAAAACATTTTCTGATTCAATTTTTGTTTATGAGTATGAATACCTATGTCAAAAGCTGCTGGTTTGACTGCACGATTGTTGGCATTTGGGCAACTGGCTGCCGTGCAACGTGTCGCAGGTTCGATTCCTGCACGGAACGACTGTGTATCCACAAATAATTATTGTTCCGGGTCTGGGTGTCATGTGCATATGAAATTGTATGTTTGTAACCGCACCCACGTCAGGAGAAAATCCTAATGTGGGGCAACGTTCTTTTTAAAACAAAAGAAAACCTGGGATTTCATTGGAGCAACAAGACGATTGCTCTAGCACAATAATGTGCTGTAGCAAGAACGGGGTTGTTTTTATTCGGTAAGAGTGTCACCTACTCGACAAAGTAAGTTGAGCAGAGTGAGGTACTAGACCGTACATAATGCATCGAAGCGTGTATTTTTGAAGCTGGTACCTAGCCATTATCAGATTTTTTGTCAATGTACCTAGGTGTTAGGCATTTAGTTTTGACTAAAAGGATCTTGCTACAGCGTAGGTACCTAAAGCTAACTTTTCAGGAAGCTTTGCACAGTTGTCAAAAGGCAGTGCCTGGAAGTAAAAGGCACAGTACATTTTATCTATACTTATAATAAATCTATAGATGTCAATTCTGTACAGTAAATATATTTTCAAAATAACTACCGGGGTGGTGAGTGATCGATACTGATGCCAAAAATGCAATCAGTAAAATTTTTGTATGTCTGTCTGTATGTTCCTTATAGAAACAAAAACTAGGTACTCGACGGATTTTAACAAAACTTGGTACGATTATTCTTTATACTTCTGGGCAGGTTATATAATACTTTTCATCACGCTACAAATAATAGAAGCAGAGAAATTAATATTTAGCTTGCCCAACGTACACAGTAATTATAGTGACATAATTTTAAATGGGCAAAGGTTAGAATTTGTTAACGAGACTATGTTCCTCGGTATTACGCTAGACAATAAACTTCAATGGGGTTCCCACATCGATCACTAATAAAGAACTTCTTTCTTTATTAGTGATCGATGATCGGTGATTGATGATCACTAATAAAGAACTTCTTTCTTTATTAGTGATCGATGGGTTCCCACATAAAGACGCTTTCGGGAAGTCTGAGCTCAGCTGTTTTTGCAGTTAGACAGCTCACAGACGTGAACACAACAGGGCTTGTTTATTTTAGCTATTTTCACAGCATTATGTCGTACGGAATTTTGCTGTGGGGTCGAGCGGAAGTAGATTCACACCCGGTTTCTGAAAGGCTTGTCAACGCTAAAATTAACTAATCTCCTGTTAAATCTCTTGTCAAGTCATCTGATTGGTTGTTGATAATTCAGTCAATCAATCAGATGACTTGACAAGAGATTAAATTGATTTTAACATTGATCGGCCTTCCGGAAACCGGGAGTCAGTATTTATTTTGCAAAAGCGGGCTATCCGAGCGATATATAACTTGCCCCCTCGTGAATCTGTGAGAGAACTATTTAAAACGATAAATATCCTAACGGTACCTTGTCAGTTTATATATGAAAATATTATGTACGCAAGGAAAAATTTGCAATTATTTTAAAAGAGTAACCATGGAGTTTCTTTCTCGTTCTGTTCCATTCGAAACTACAATTTGGAACGAGCACCTAGCTTCACTGACGAACAGACTGACAGACTACTATATTTTGATGTTTCAAAAGTACCTATTTATGGTTTAGTTGGAATAAATGATTTTGATTTGAGAAGTAAAGGGAAATGTACAAGTATCAACGAAAATGATGACCTTAACTTTTATCGAAGAAAGCTTCTCGGCCTCTTATGTAGTCACATGTAATAAATAGGCTTTCAGGCTTACCCTCCTGGATATAAATAGAAAAAGTGACGGTTATTTTTAAAACTGAGTAAATAACAGCTCTGCTCTGTGAGAGACTTTTGAATTTGACTTTGTCAGACTGATTAAAAAGGAGCTGAGCCGTAGCAAGACATTGTGCTTGCACTCGCATACCTGGCTGATTAGTACCTATCAAACGTAGCTACCTATAATACCTACCTACTTTTGAAAACCTATAAAAATTGGTTTTGTACCTACTTAGAGGGTGATTCTTCACATCAATTAAAAAAAAATTAATAATGTCATTATCCTCAACCGAAAATTAACGAGCTGCTGATTAAAACACAGATAATTATTTTATTAAATTAAATCTCACCACTGCTTACAAGCAACCGATTAAAAATATTGTATAAAATAAATTACTAAGATGCTTAAAAACCTGGGAGGATAATGACTTGTTAAATAAAAGTTAAGGTTTTTTGGAGAATCACCCAAGAACATGCACATTAGGTACCTACTAGCAAATTATAAAAAAAAATACTGCATGGTTGAAACGGTGGCTGGGCAACTGGTGCCGTGGGTTCGATTCCCCCACGGAACAACTCTTTGAATTTGAATGATCCGCGAATTGTTGTTCCGAGAATAGTATTTGGCAATGACGGGTTCGATTCTGGCTCTTCCAAAGTATTACTACTGCTTTTCGGAGTTTGGTATGGAGTCTGAATCTCTGGCTCGCTTCCTGTACCTTTACCTACCTGTAGGAACATGTTGCAATCTACTGTGCACGGTACTCAGCAAACCTGATGTAGGTGAAAATTTTTTAAGGAGACAAATATCATTTATTTTTTTCACTTGTGCTGACTAAAAACCAATAATACATTATTCCGCTTGACCCACAATTATAGCTAGGTAGGATGATCAAAAACCAAGTATTTAAATATTTTTAACAAACAGGTGAAGTGTGAATTGTAAAGATAAAGATATTGGTTTGGTGGATGGTAAATTAAGCCCCTTTGCAAAATGTTTTATTAGTGAATAGGTAAGATGCAGAGACCCCACTTTGAAACTGGTAAAAATTGTATGCATTTCTCATCATTCTCTGTATGTACCTAAAGATATATTTGGTTAAAATTAGTAATACACAGTGGAAACATTAAAATAAAAATTATATGTTTATTTCAATATAGTATATTATTACTTAATAGTAAAATTTACAACTAAAAGTCCATTCTTGGCACTTCCTAATTTGAACCATCGGCCAGCCTTATGTTCTTGGCCTACAGCTACATACAGCTGTCTGCCATCACTTGTAAACTGCATAGAATTTACAAAACCACTGACTTGTACACTAAACATAGGTGACACTTTTCTATATTGGTCAGATACTCTCCATAGCCTAATATTAAGATCATAGGAGCCTGATGCAAAGACATCAGAGTTTAATAAAGTTGCCAAACTAGTAATCCACCTTGGTACTTCATTTTCTGACCCATGAGCTTCTGGTACTGTGCAAAGAGGCTTCTTTTTAAGCACACTCCATATGCATAAAGAACCATTATCACTTCCTGATACAAAATGCTCTTCATCTAATAGCTTTACTTCATCAAGACTTCCCACTGGACCATTGTATATCAGTTGTGACTCCTCTGCAATCTTCCATATTCGGACTGAGGTGTCCCTTCCTCCTGCTGTTATTGCCCTCTCTCTTGTTAGTGCATCAATCGATGTGATGGGTGACTGGTGTCCAAACAAACTTTCGACATAAGCCATCTCATCTAGTGACCATATTTTAACTGATCTATCTTTACTGGCTGAATACAAATCATGTGTATTTTTCCTAAACACTAGTCCTGTCACTTCATCTTTGTGGCCCTTGAATGTGTAAATATGTTTAAGTGTACTCGGATCCCATACTTGTATGTACGGAGACTCATCCGATGAAACCAAATATTTGCTATCTGTTGATATTGCCAATGATTTAACCACACCTTTTATAAACTTGGAATGAGTTTTGTAAGTTAGACTGCCCATTTTTCTTTTCTCGTTGATACCCCACTTAATAATGGAACCACATTTACTGCCAGTAAAGGCATAGTTATTGTCACTGCTGATACACACACACGTTAATGTTAGACGATGTTCCTTCGCACGAATAAGCCTTAGGTCACTATCACCTGGTTCTATATATTTGTCAGCTATCTCTATCTTTAGTTTACCTTTCTGTTCCAAATAGTCTTTTTTAAGTCGGTTCTCAACCGCATCGTCCACTTCTTTAAGCTCTGCTCTCTTCGCCTCTTCTTTTTCAATTTCTTCCAAGTATTTCTTCGCTAGACGTAACTTCTTCTGCTCAGCAGTTTCATGGTCACTTTCAGACTCCTCCGCATCAGAAAACTTTCGTATATCCAATTCACTGTCCGAAGATTCCTGCCCATTTTCTAGGTTAGGAGTGTTTGGTTTTTTAGGATTCTTTTTCTTGATTTTGTCTCCTTTTCTTTTTTGAACTTTCCTCGACTTGCCTTTTAGAAAGAACGACGAAGACATTTTGTAACTTAACGTAATAACTTTATCACAAAAATATGAATAACTTTGTAAAACAATTTCAAAAACGGCATGCGATACACGCACGTTGGATTTATTTTTGACTAGTGATGGGCAACTCGAGTTGTCTAACTCGGGCAACTCGAGTCAGACCGTGAGCGAGTCAGCCCGAGTAAATATTTCTGCAACTCGGGTTGAACCGAAGAGCGCGCGCGGTGGCAATCGGGGCGGGTCGGTTGCCAGCCCGCCGCGCGCCGCTCGACGCCGCCGCCCGCTCGCCGCCTAGCCCGCGATTCGCGAGGCCCGAACGACACCGAGCGAGCCCGAGTCAGCACGAACAACGAAACGTAGTCGCGTCGTCCGAGCCGCGAGCCGCGAGTGAAAGAGATAGTTCTCGTCTTCGGCGAACAAATGACAGAGTTTTAACACAAAAGATTAGATATTTGTTTTGTTTACGTTTTTGTTATTACTACTTAGTTCGTAATTTATTGTTTTGTTGCGGTATTATTAGTTTATTAAGTTTTGTTTGTCTGATTAATAACTTTTGAATGGCTCCGGGAAACAGGAAAAGTGTGGCGTGGGAGTTTTTTTCGAAAATAGACAATAATACTAAAGTACAATGCAATTTGTGTTCTAGTCAATACAAATTTAGTGGAAATACGAGTACCTTAGTGAACCACCTAAAAAAAACACATTATAAAATATAGTGAATTTGTTGGCGTTAGCTGTTGGCCCAATCTTACAAATTTCAATAACATTAAAGTCTGATTTTTTGACAAACTTATTTAATTTGACTATCATTAGCATGGACTCGACCCCACACAGCCCGTCGGGCTCGACAAGCAAACTAGCAACCCGCAGACCGATGCACCGAGTCGAGCGTTTACTGACTCGAACGGACAAGGCGGACAACGCGGCGAAGGACGCGACGTATCTTATGGCAGATCGGGTCGAGTCAACTCGAGTTGCAGCCCGAGTTGGTTATCGGGTCAACTCGAGTTACCCGAGTTATCAAAAAGGCGACTCGGCCCATCGCTATTTTTGACACTATCTGTCAGAACTGTCAGTATTGTCACGAATGTCATTGACAACTGATTGAGAATGACAAAACTGACAGGACCGAGCAAAAACTCGTTTTGGTACACGCAGAGAAATACGGCAGCGTGCATAAAAAAATCTGAAGAAATAGTTTTTTTTTATTAAGTTAATAATAAACACTAGAAGGGTTGTTAGTGCGTTGCCCCGCCTTTTTATTTTAAGGATTTAGTTAGTAGAGGCAATAGACGGATTGGGCCTATGGTAACCTCACACACACGGCGAAACAACGCTGTGATCACAGAACATAATTATATAGGTACCCTAAAGAAGGCTGAGATTGTTAAACAATAACAATGTTAATGTTATTGTTAAACAAAGTAGATGGTGGAATCACTCCGGTATCACTAGGATCCATTTATGGCCAAGCATGGCCCACCTTTAAATATAGCCTTTTTCTACAATTGGGTGGGGCGCAAACTTACAGTGCGATATGGAATCTCAGACTCAGACTGGAACTGCACCCTTAGACGGTAGTGCAAAAGCAAGTTGCTGGTGCATAATTTTGGCCATCTTGTTTATGCCTGTGCGAGTTAAAATATCGTGTGGAGTATATTAATCCAGCTATTTAAAGTCGTCACCCGTCCCAACTTCGTCTATAATTGCAATGAATAATTTTTATTCACATCTTTGTCCAAGTAATATTCATCGCACTATCTTTACGAGCTCATTACTCCGTTGGATGTGTCTACATCTTGGATTAAAAAACACATTAATCCAGGGTCTCAAATGATGATGACATGATTGCAAGTGTGTAGAATTGTTGTATAACATCTTCTCCACCTCCACAAGGCATGGAGTCATGGGCCTTTTTATATCTTATCCAGCAAGTAGGGAAATATTTTCAGAACCAGTGCTAATAGCTACCTAGATCAATAAGGAATACCTCCTTAGTTCCACTAGATCCTCTGCAAATTTTATGATGATGTTGTTTGTTGTTAACAACTTGTTTAAAAACAAGTTTGCCAGAATTTATTATCAGTCTCCCTTGGAATCATAGAAGCAGATCAAGTATGGAATGTGTACTTTTTTTTAGGTAATTGAATAAACAAATAATGTAAACCAATACGAGCATAAAAACCAAACAACCAAAAACAGTTATTGCTTTATTTTTCCACAATTATTACAGGACCAGAGTCCCATGAAAGTGTAGAAAGTTAACAACATTTTGATTTAATCTGTAATTAAATATCAGTTCCACATTTGGACTTAGGTCCCTGATGTAAAACCTGCTTGGTGTACTCAGATCATTACTTTGAACAATGTTCCAGATTGTTCATCCTACAATTGTGTTAGCCCCTCTCAATTGTAAATATCCAGCTGTTATATCCATTGGTAAATTCCTGACTGTTGCAAACTCTTCCACATTACTGTAAAACAGCTTAGAATGACGGTCCATATATGGAGCTGGGAGGCCAGATATATCTGAATATTTCTTGGTAGGTTTAAATGTAGGTGGAGCATTGATGGAGTAATCTGAAACAGTAACAGGTTTTATTTATTAAATTAATGTTGACTAACTACTTGATTAATAAAATTCTGACTTGGCATAGAAAATAAACAAAATTGTAACTATGTAGAGAATAAATAACTAATAAAAGTAGTTCTTACATAAAACAGCGTCGTTATGCCATGGGAGTGTCCTTTCAGCGGTTAATATTTGTTTCAGTGATCGCCACATACGTTTTTTACAACCACTTTTGACGAGGAATTTATTTTCAGTTTTGAAACGGTAAGTTTTTTCTGAATCACCAGTCATGATAGCTTGTGGTAGTGACTTTAAAGATTTTGTGACACCTCTACTGTTACTCACTGATCGCAAATAACGTTTTACAGTAGGAAAAAGTGAGAAACTTGATGTTTTCAACAAAAATAATAATTGTTCTACGGAAATTCGGAATAAGATTTGGCAACAATGATCCTTCTGCAGCAGACGTTGACAAATTGACTTTGATATGTAACGAACTGTCAAACGTCACTGGAAACATTTTTTTTGGAGTTTATGGCCTGGATACAAGTCTTTTAAGCCATCACTGGAAACAGATTACTATAAACCTTAGACCATAGAATTTAATTTAATTCCTCTTTGCTTTAAACTAATCAGAGAACTCAAAGGCGGAAGAAGACTGTTCCTAAAGTTTCAAAACTCGTAATTCAAAATGAACAGGTGACTTTATTTTTGGAAAATGTTAACGCCCTTACATTAGTGTATTTAGTGTTAACATTATGAAAAGTAAATCAAACACTAAAGTAAATATAGGAGTTACATAATATATGTACTTAATGCAATCAATAGATTTTTTTTTGTGTAAAGTATTTAAAAATGTTGTAGCATCACAACACAAAGTTTCATATTTAATTTAGATTTGTCAATTGAATATCAAAATTATAATTGAAATTAATTTCTGAAGTTTTGTTGCCAAAACTTCTTAAAATCCTTGTCAACAGAACTCCAATATTTTTTCTCTACAAAGACAAGATGAGATTGGCACGTGGATTGCACCAGTGAATGAAATACAAATGTCAAAATAAGTTTGAGGTTACTCATGTGTTGTACTGAAGTGTGTTATTTTTAAACAATTTAAAATGGATATTGTAAATGAAATATTGGAAAAGGAACAGAAGAAATCTGAGAAGTATAAACCTATTACTGTAGAAAAACATTTGGAAGTAGAACTTGATTTAGGCACATTACTAGCTTTTGACACAAATGATTTGGACACAAAATTATTGCAGTAAGTTAATTTTCTATTATTTTATCCCACGATCTCTTGTTGTTTAGAATTACATTCATATAAACTTTAAGAATTAACTCCGTTTAAGATACCGAGTTTGGCCTTTTTGTTGAACTGCGTTCTTAAAATATGACCACATTAATCGCGTTACTTTTCAGATCAAATAAAGATGATTACTTGCAGTCATTGACTCGTGACAACACACAGCTACTATTAAACAAGATATGGGAGCTCCCTACAGAACGGGTTGATGAGGCGATAGTTGTTAAGTTACCTGAACCTAAAACAGTGCTGCCTAGGGCTAAACCCTGTCCTAAGCCAAAGCCTCTCACGAAATGGCAAGAGTTTGCCAAGTCTAAAGGTATTACTAAAAAGAAGAAGGATAAATTACAATGGGATGAACAGCTGCAGAAATGGGTGCCTTTGTATGGGTAAGTACAACACTTTAATAGGACAATTAACATGAATGTAAGTAAGCACTGACTCTAATATGCAATGATGGTCAAACTATCAGATACAAGGTGAATCTTTGAACTACAAATATCTCTTAATTGTGTCTTTTTCATTTCAACAAATATCATTACTATTCTCACTTTATAGTTTCAAGAAAGCTGCTGCAGAGAAAGAGAAGAATTGGTTAATAGAAGTACCCCAGAACTTGGATCCCATGACAGATATGTTTGAGAAAAAAGCTTCAGAAAAATCAGAGAAAGTTGCCAAGAATGAATTGCAGCGGCTGAAGAACATTGCCCGAGCTAGGAAAGTAAAGATACCTAGAGTCGGCCTTCCTGTTACTTCTGACAAAGCTTCTGCATCACAGGTAAATAATAAGATGGCTTGTTTTATAGTTTGGCACTTTCATATTTCGACATAATTTATCTTATTGACTACTCCTCATGTTACAATATACCTAATTCAGTTTTTGCATTAATTTGATAGTGCAGCATATTTTGCAAAGTCACATTATGCAATTGTAACACTGCACTAGCTGTAATTTATTTATTTATTTATTAATTTATTGTACTAACTAACAACTATTTTTCTAGTTGGATACAGCAGCAACAATAGCAAAGGCATCTACAGCATCACTAGGAAAGTTCCAAGATAAGCTGCCTAAAGAAAAAGAGCCTAGAGGCAAAGGAATCCATGAACTTATCCCAGGCAAGGAAAGGAAACGCAAACTTCCTATACCTACACCGGCACAAGAGAGGGAAAACAATTTAAATATGCTTGATAACATTCTGAATAAGAGGCCCAAGATTGATATGGACAAAGCTGTAGCTAAACATATCCACGATGAACAAGTGAAGTGAGTATATACAAGTATACCAATAAACGATTTTTCATCTGCATCACCTGTTGTAAAATCTGGAGCTATTGTAAAATTACCATCTATGTTATATTTAAATAAGAATTCCAAAAGCTTGCTTTTATTCTTAAGTCTTCTTTTCACTTTAGTCAACAACATTGTCCTATACCCGGTTTTAAAATGCACTGTTAATGATTGTTTACTTACTTACAGCCGTTCTGAAGAAAAGAAGAATTCAAAACCAGCTAAAGGAAAGCGCAACTTCAAAGCAAAGACCAAGGGCGGTAATCCTACCAACTTCACAGCCAAGAAACCCAAAGCCGGTAAAGGCCAGAGAAATCCAGCTAAAAAGGCTGGCGGTAGAAAGAGAAGATAAGTGTTCTATGTTAAAAAAATGTGACAGACTATTATAGGCTTTCAAATATTTAAAGAACTTATTGGGCATAAGAATCTTGTGTTTAATAGTTTTCATAACCATAATTTTGATGGACAGCATATTCATGTTTATTCTTATCTATACTTATATGCTTGTTAAAACATTTTTTTTATAAACCACTGATTGTAAAAAGGTTTTTAATTTCATTAAGGCTAATTTAAGTACAGGATACAGTGATTAGTGGACGAACGCGTGTTCCCGCCTTTTCGTGTAAAATGATTATAACAATAATGATAAAATGGTTGAACTGTATTCAATAAAAGAGATACAAACCTTTTTAAATGATTTTATTTCTTTCAACAAAATTCATAGACAAGTACTTGTTTACAATTCCTTTCGGATACGACACTATGTAATTTACAGGTTTACAGAGTCTACTTAGAAACTTTGATTACAACTGCACATGTCAATGAAAATCAAACATTATTTACTATGGTTATCTTCTTACACCAACTGTTAGGCTCAGTACATACTGAGCAAATGTACATACATATGTACATTTGGCGAAAATTCATACATAATCAATATTTTTGGCAACAGACAATTCCTTAGTTCTATATTACACTGGACTATTCATTGAGTGTTGGTTAATTTAAATTACAAATAATTGTCTAATTTATTACTTAAAAAATATTCATAGGTAATAAGCAAACATTTTTTTAAACACCCTTCTTATTGTATCATGAGGACTATAATTATAAAAATAAAAAAGTTTCATATTGCAAATCAAGGATTCAAATGAAAGTAATTTTTAACATGTTCTAATATCAACATGTGCAGTAATCCTACATGTAGTGTACCAATGTGCTATGTATTTAAATATAATGATATCTTCCTTACATCGCTACATTTACACTACTTAGGCAAAGGAGAAGGTATATCAATTAATACTGTATATCAAGAACCCTACACAACACTACGCTACGCAAACAACAATCTAATATTAAGCTAATATATTATGGAAGCTTCTACTAGTGTAAATGCTTACTTCATACAGTAGTAGTAATCTGTCAAATTACTTAAATGGATATTCTAGTTTAATAAAATACGATAAAGTTAAAAATCCAGATTGAAATGTTAAGCGTATTGTGATTATAATTATATAGGTAGTTAGTAAAATTATTAAAACAAAAAGGGCTTTAAGGTTGCTCTGAGGCTTTGGTTTACAACCAAAGGATTTGTTATCAAAATCACGACAATTTAATTCAACTAACACCCGGTTACGTTACCGAAAGGCCGATCAATGTTAAAATCAATTTAATCTCTTGTCAAGTCATCTGATTGGTTGACTGAATTATCAACAACCAATCAGATGATTTGACAAGAGATTTAACAGGAGATTAGTTAATTTTAGCGTTGACAAGCCTTTCAGAAACCGGGTGTTAGTTTGCATATACGAAAAGGACTTCAATCACACACTAGCGCCACCTACTAACAGCAAAAACGAAAAACCTTAGAGTATACAAAAAAACTTGTAAGTAGTATATTACACAATCATTTTATGACCTAGTATATAATAAATTATTAGTTAGATCTCCATATTTAGCTTAGGATTAAGATCTGGTTTTCACCAGTGCATGGTTGCAACGACAAGACTGCGAAGGCAGTATAGGTATATTAAAGCTCTTAAAATGTAGCGCCTTTGACTCCCGAGCAGCAATAAGGCTATTCGGGAATATGAATTTATTCTAAGTCTTGCGTCACAACCAACGAACACACTATCAATTTACGGTATGAAGGAAGCTTTGCACTACTTCTAATTACATTGTCTACTGCTCTAAACTACATTGATTTGACGATGGATACTGGGTTTTTGGCATTCATCAGTAATTTTTTATTATACGTTCTTACATTTTACAACAAAATATAACGCATTTGTTTTAAAATTTATAACATTTTCTTATTGTCCAGTATCCATGACAAATCAATACGACACTACTGCTTACGCATTAATATTGCTATTCATCACTATCCACTAATATATATCTAAACAAGTTGGTAAACGATTGTCACAAAATAGGATTTCTGATATAAATATTATGCTTATACATTAAACATGTTCACTCCACAATAATCAAATGTTACACAAACCAGTTGACCATTGTGTAGTTCACCATACCATAGATAATGGAAAAATATCTTTAGCTTAAGATAGAATAGGAAAGATAAATAGCTGTCTCAATAATAAAGAAGACAGTGATTACAATAAATTATTAAGAAAATTCGACACAGTACTCTTTACACAACCTTGAGAGATCTTTCCACTATTTACCTGTCAAAAAATCTAAAATTGATTTAAAATGCTGGGAATACAGCACTTCCCAGAGTGAACAATACAGTTCAATTTTGTGTGGCTTTGAGCTGAAGTTAAGCTTCTCATCAATTGGTTCTGCTGTAAAACAGTGGGAAGACCTCTCATACCATTTCATAAATCCTATCTAAGATTACAATTATATTGGAATCTAAAAAATACAAAAAAACACCAACGATTATATTTTGACACAATAATAATAATTTAAGCAATACAAAAATGCTCTAAAAATTCGATAGTGTGGTACCATGTACCGAATCAGTCAATAAATAATAATTAATTGTTCAAATAAATTTGGCTACCAACAAAGCAACGGTCAATTCTCTTTTAGCACCATCTGTTGGTTGTAACACTTTCATTCTAGACCAGTTCATCCCAACCCCAACAGTAATTTGCGTCCTAAAATAGACCTTGCAAAAGGAAACCGATCTAGATAACATTAGCCGTTTTAAAAACGAATTTTGCCTTGCCATATTAAAGAACATTTCAGCTAAGATAACATTTTCAAACTTCCATCGTCCCCAAACCGTTTTTTAAGAAGATTGTGCAATAAAAGGGTTTCGTAACATTAATAATTTGCGACAACCCTAGCATACACCATTAAGATAATGTCACGGCAACTTTGAAAAAAAACGCCGCGAAAAACGAATAAAGAAGAATGTTTAATTGCTTCGTATTTTATTATTAAAATGTTATTTATTTTGAAGCCAAATGTTTTGTTTAAATTTTCCTAATTTATCGTGTCACAAAGCGACGCATCTGTATTTTATTTCTTTCACAAATTATTGTTTATGGCTATATAACAACCCTGTATTTATAATGAGGTTCTATGTCAAAAATCCTGTATAGAACAATTCGTTAAATAAAAAAGAAATGTGTAAACATGGGTAAAAATAAAGCTTACTGATTGAACAGTTAGGGTATCCGAGACACGCAAAAAATAAAATAATAAAAAGTAAATATATCAAAAAATGTTGATAAAAATTAACATACAATCTATTACATTGATAAAGAAACTAACAATATTTAGTATCTACAATTCTAAATAAATAAACTCAAAAGAACTTAAATAAATCAAGTAAAAATAGTACCTATACTTATACATAAAATTTATGAGACCATTTAAAAAAACAATAACATACTTCTTAGCTCCTATAAAAATATGGAAACAAATATATACTTTATGTTAAAACACATAAGGTTAATAATGAATACCATCACCATTCTCACAATTCATTGAAAATTACGTATTTTTTGGTTCAAAATAAATTGTATAATTATTTTTAGAGGTGTATAACGCTAACAATATGTCATGAAGGGCAAGGAGATCAATTGAAGGAATAGAAATGCCTACTTTGGGTAAATATTAACAATAAAAAGTTTTAAATTGTTTATAAAAGGAACAACAATTTATGTACAAAGACTACATGATTTCTAGTGAACATAGCCGTTTCAATACTAAACACATCTCTATAATAATTAGATTTATAATCAATTCGCGATTTAATTAATAGAAATACATTAAGTTCTTTGCCGTAGAAGCATATCTTGACATAAGGTTTTAAATAATAAATCAACCTAAAAGTATAACATTGAATACATTTAGTTGAAGAAATTATAATAATATGTTGAGTTTTTATATTATTTTCAGATAGGTATTTCTAATATTAAAAAAGATTCAATATCCAACAAACCAGTGTTGCGAGTTTAAAAAAAATGCTAAAATGTAAGAATTCAAACATTTGGCATTTAATTATACTCAATGCTTTGGCCTCCATAGCACTTCTTACAGAGAGTGTAAACACCAGACTCTGCATCATGCTTCCCTTTGTAGTGGCACACGATGTGCACCAGCTTGAGATTCTCCCGCGTAAATATTTGCAAGAAATACCTATCAGCTTCGATCCCACCTACCTTCGAACCTTTATCACATAACATACACTTAATATCACCGCTGTACAACCCATCAATTGCTTGTAAAATTTTTGGGATAATAGACCTTGATAGCTCAATCTTATGGTCGAGATTCCATGTTTGGAATATAATGCGTTCTTCGCGGCTCCGGTATGGGTTGATGACGTGTTCGCCTTCGTAGAGGCATTTGTCCGCACTCCAGAGGCCGCCACATTGGAAGAGGCCTCGTTCGTCACATATACGAGCGTTCTTATTGGCTTTGCGGTTGAAGTATGTCTCATTGTACTTGTGGGAATCAAGTATGTTGCGCAAATCAGTTAAGAACTGGTCAATGAGTTTCTTACCTCTACCATTCTTCGAGTGTATGTAGATGTCGGACGACTGTAAGGCAGTCTTGGTCTTGTAGTAATAACCGCGCATCCGTTCCTTCACGCGTTTTGACATCGACTGTTCTTTTGTTTTCTCTGACAATTCTAAACCTGAAAATAAATAAAAGTATAATTAAGTTTTGCTACCTTACATCGTAGGTCGTGGTGGCCCGGAGGTTAAGGAGCCCGCTTCTCATGCATGAGGGTGTGGGTTCGAAACCTGGCAAGTACCAATGTGACTTTTTCCGAGTTATATGTACTTTCTATAATTATTTAGACACCACTAACATACGATAAAGGTAAATATCGTGAGGAAACCTGGACTTATAATTTCTAATTATAAGTTTGAAATCGCCAACCCGCATTGAGTAAGCGTGGTGATTAATGCTCAAACCTTCTCCGTGTGAGAAGAGGCCTTTGCTCAGCAGTGGGCACCTATAGGCTGATGATGATGATGATGATGATGACCTTACATAAATCGTGGGCAGAATTTCGTGATGGTGTTAGCCACTAGTGCAATAATTGGGTAGTTTCCTAGGTCAAAAATAAATTAATTTGATGTTTCAATACATCAATCATATTGAAAAATAACTAAATTTGTATTCATCGATAAGTATTGTGAAATAAGTAAGCTATTTGACGTAAAAATGTTATGACGTCATAGCTCAGTTGTTCATACAAATTTCATAGAAAAGTATCGTTTTTGACGATAAAAGTATTGAATTTGACTAGTTGGAAACTACCATATTACAATCATACAACATAAATGTCGTGTTCATCCATGGTATTTGGTTCCTCACCTTCAAACCAGCCAGGATCCTGTGCCCTCTCACTCAGCATGGTCTTGGCATCATCACCAGCTGCAATATACTTCTGGAACACTTTGAACTTCTCTTTGAGGTTGGTACTAAGGAACTCCTTGGCTGCAGCTCCTGTGTCAATGTACTCTTTCTTCTGAGACCGGATCATTTCGTAGTAGTAGTCAAAGTCTGGAAAGTGAATAAATTGAGAGTTCATCAGTAGGCTGCGCGACGTCGCCGCGTCCGCGCACGCTGCTCATGAGGAAGAACCCCTCTGTGGTTCGAAACTAGTAGAGCTTTTCTCAACATTTACACGTGAGTAACCCGCGAATTTTAGTTAATTTAGTATGTCTCACGATAGTTATTATAAAAACAAATTGAGAGTTAGTTTAATATTATTTAAGTATTTTAAATTAAATATGATGTGGAGGGACTGAGACTTTTATCGGGTTTTTAGCTTGTGATAACTAGCAAAAATATGAATTTCACATGACTATAAATATAATTTAAACTCTTATCTGCCATATCCAGTCAATGAGAGATGATAGAAAATATATTGAGTCTTTCTATTTTTGTACTGCACATTTTCATTATCTATCTATACTATACATCATATAGAGCATGAAAAATCATCATACAGTTGTGTTATTGTGTGACCAAATGTCTTATGTACATGAAAAAGTAACACCTAACTAGATGTTCTGATCTAATATACTTAATAATGTACAGAAGTGATTATTAGATCACTTTAACTGTATCATGAATTATAAATTAAATTACAGAGTAAATTGGCAGTTCCAAAATCAAATAATCTAATTCTTTCTCAAGAATGTGTTAAAAAAATTAAGCTATGTTTGAGAACTCAAAGCCATTACTTATTATACTTACATGATTAATTGAAAATCTTATCTAAGAGAGACAGTAAAATTTCACTGAAATGTAATCAAGACATACCAGTGACCATTTTTTCAGTATTTTTTAATAGTATGAAAAGTGTCTGTGGGGGCAGTGTAGCCAAATAGTCATCGTCATCCACTTGAGTCCCGTCCTCCGCTACGAAGAGCCGGCAATCCGCGCAGCTGACATTGAACTGAAAATCCCGAGAAGCAGAATTAGGTCAAGGTAGGAAAATATCGGTCAAGGCTTCACCCTGACCCATTTATTCCAACGATAAACACACCTTGTCATGACTAAAACTAGCCTTGAAATACACCAAATCCTCCATAAACCAACGTTACAAACACTTTTATTATTCATAAACCAGTAATTTCCACTTACCCCTAACTTTTTACATGATTTTGCGACTAACTCTTCCACATTTTCAGCAGCAACGCCTATTTTCTTCTCTCTTTTAACATCGGTTACTTTATATCCCTTCTTCATGACGAAAATAAATAACTGCACAGATGTATTACATTTATTTAGAAAAATAAAAACAAAGAAATCCTACAACCGGACGCGGTAGATTGAAGCGCAGTTTGATTTCTAAAGTGACTTATGACAGTGATGACATTTGATAAGAGGGCTGCCAGTAACAAGCGGAGCATTTCCCACATAATTTACCCTAAATTAAGTCTATTTCCATTTGTACCGACTTACTTTTTGTTTTTAGATTTCTACAATCTCACTTCCAAAAAGATAAGAAACAGGATATTATTTTGATTCAATTCTGTTTAACCATATAAGAAAGGCTTACAGGGTGGTAAAGACGCAAACTTTCTATAAAAAAAAACATTAGTTTACACATTTATAGACCTTCAGTATATTTTATACATTGTGTGTGTACGGTATCCAACAATCGCACTTAAAAGGTCAAAATATAATACTAGCAACTCTGATTCAAGAACTCCCTTTTGTGGGCAGTAGATGGGGTGGGAAAGATGGGGTTTGTGTCCCCTCACCCCACTACTTCCTCATCCTACTTGAATCCTCCCAAACGTCCTTTCCGTTCCTCTCAATTACCATTTGAAGCCAGCCAGCGATTTTACTTTATTTTGCCGAACATTGTGTAGATTTTAGTAATGAGATTACGAAGAAAAGTACATCTTCAAATATGATACATATTTAGAGTAGCAGATATAATTTTTGGATCGAGGTTGGCTTTCCTTATAAAATGTGCTGATGGCAGTCTATCCAATACATGTAAAAATATTATAACTTCTTCAAATATTTCATAAAGTATTTAGAGGCCATTGCCCTGTAGTATATTTATTTACACTTCCTACCCAATTGCCTACCGGACTGTAGGCCTATAGCAATTTCTGCTGCAGTTATCCTTTAGGTTGCATAGAGGTGTTTGTGGAATATGGTATACTAGCTACTCTCGCGCGGTTTCACCCGCTGCTCAGCTCCATATGATCGTAGCGTGATGTTTTTTAGACTACCTGTAGCACTCAGGAACATTGTAGCTATCTATCAGTGAAAGAATTTTGGCAATCCGACCAGCAGTTCCAAAGATTACTTACAAACATACAAACTTACAAATTTTACCTCTTTATAATATTAGTATAGACAACGCTTCCAACTTCACAACTTGGAACGGACTGTTGTTGTTATTGCTGTTGTTGCGCTCAAACGACTCCTGCCCAACCAAGAAAGGTACCGGTGTGCTAGTGTTACTTACCGTTACACACAGTCAGTCACAGGTTACATTTACCTACCATACCTGCACTTTGATAACGTATGACTACGCCTTTCAGTATTCTGAAAATCTTGTTTTATACTTTTTCAGCGTAGTTTTTTGTCGTAGTTGGGTTTTAGTCTTTATATTTTTTATTATTTTAAATTAACATACGACGTTGTCAGACCTCTATTCTTTGTCTACGACAAACGACATAACGAGATTACAGTAGGTATATAGTTGAGAAAGGTCACAGATTACCTCTTCTTCGTGTTCCTTGTTATTTAGTTTATTTTTTTCTATATTTATTTCTTTCTTACCATCTCTCACGAGAAAGTAACTCATTTAGTATGAGTTAGGTACTTTCTCGTGAGACGACGGAGACGGAGACGTGGACTTTCTGTTAATCGACAATCTGTGTTTTAGAGAAATTCCAAATTCGCATAATTTAAATTATTAATTTAGGCTGTATATACGTTCATTCTGTTTGCAAGATATAACAGGCCATTTTTTAAATTGTGATTGTGGTTCAAGCTATGATTTACTTAAGAAAACAATATCCGTTTTTGACATACCTGTTACGTATACTTGTGATGATAAATATGTCTCATGCCTAATCGTGAGTTCAAATAAGAGCTGTCAAAATTGGCTTAAAGGACTCGTATCCAGGCCATAAACTCCAAAAAAAAAAAAGAGCTGTCAAAACATTCAAAATTTCAATTCAAAAACGCGATTAGCTTTAGCCAATTGGTAATAATAATTGCTTATTCCTATTAAAATATATTGCCTGTGTTGTGATAAGTTTGTTTCTAAATTACTTGCTTATAGAGTCTGCAGGCCACTGTGCCACTTTTACAAGCCTATTACAACTTTGCTGTGACCGGCTAAATAAGAAATCACATGTCAACAAGTGCTACATAATTTGTATTGTTTATAGGTTGAAGAAAATATTGTAAAGTTTTAAAATGAAACGTGGAGCGCTGATAATTATTGAGGGTGTTGACAGGACTGGGAAATCGACACAGGCCAGGATGCTTGGTATGTACCTATCGTAAAACCTGTTTACCGATTTACCTGGTTTTGACCTCTACTAGTACTTTTCTAAATGTATTTACAGAATTATTTTATTACGATACTTATTGAATACCAATAATTATTATATAAAATTTTTGAGTAACAATAATAATTAACCATCATTTAAAAGCTCCTTTTTTCCCTAGTTGAAAATCTTAAGAAGAAAAATATCCAAGCTGAATACACAAACTTTCCAGCCAGAGACACAGAAGTTGGGAAAATCATAAATAATTATTTACAACTGAAGGTAAATATAATTTAAATCCATAGGCCTGAAAATATGTATATCTTCAAGATAATAGTGATAGCTTATTACGGTTATCTCCCTCTTTATCAAAGTGTAGAATGAGTCTTGATAATGGTATCTAAATACCTGATAAAATAGATGAAATATATTGATTGATTGAATTTTTTACTATTTTCATATTTATCATCACCATCTCAGCAACAAGAAATTGACAGCTATTTATATTTTTCAGAATGAATTGTCGGATGAAGTGGTACATTTGCTGTTCTCCGCTAACAGGTGGGAGAGGGCTAAAAGTATAATAAAGACTCTAGAAGCTGGTATAACAGTCATTGTAGATAGGTATTGTTATTCCGGAGTTGCATTTTCAGCTGCTAAAGGTAATATAATCTTGTATTTTAAATTTCTTTATAATATCTAGTGTGCTCTGTTCTTTTATTAGATGTACTACTTCTTCCTAGGAATTGTAAAACATTTTAGAATAATATTTTATTAAATTTGCAAACTCATATTCTAAATGTGAAAAGTATAAGTAAAGTTTCATTTCACATTAGCTCAGATATATCTACATGGGATATGGGACATGCACAATTATATTTACAGCACTGATCATTTATCATCAGGTGATAAGTGATCAGTGCTGCCAGCCACCTGCTCATTTGCCTCCTATTACAATAAAACAATTCAAACTCATTTATTGCACAATACTTATTTTTTTCAGGGTTAGATTTAAACTGGTGTAAGTCTCCAGATATTGGTCTGCCCAAACCAGATAAGGTGTTCTTCCTCACAATGCCAGTTGACTCTATCAAACAAAGGAATGGATTTGGAAATGAGAGGTCAGTGACATGAAGTATCTTATCTATTTGGAATATGTAGTATAATGTTAAATCAAAACAAAAGAAGTATTATTTATAAATAAAATCAATTTTGTTGACATGTAAAATTCAATACATGACATCTTTTTAATCGATGCAGCAAGGTAATGTTATCCATTATACATAATTTATTGCTAAAATTATAAAATATACTATTGCTTAAAAGTGAAGTTGGTTAAAAATAATGAACATTTACTGAATTCTTTGCATTATGTTTACTTTACGTTAGTATCTGTGTTGACAAAATAATTTAAAATCAAACTGTTCAAATAACAAATAGTGCCGCCTTCTGTTGTCCCGCCGTATGCTAGAAGTTATCTATATTGTTATTACTTCTAAAATCAAAACTTAAAGGGTGCCTGATTTTCTATTATGCTCGCTAGAGTGTGGTCGAAATCTTCGCGTTGGTTTACTAGGCGATAGGAGGCTGAGTGAATGAGAGAGGGTAGTGTAATAAAATTGATATATTTATTTTTTATTTCCTACAGGTATGAAGTACTGAGTTTCCAGCAGAAAGTATCAGAAATATATTCCAAGTTGAAAGAGGATAACTGGGAAATTGTGGATGCTAGCAGGTTGGTTATGTACCTATTCAAACTAGTTGTTCAATGTAATGCAAAAGAATATTTGTTACAATGTATTTTGTATGAATTGAAGCTTTATTTTGTTAGTTGGAATTACAGTATCTACATTAATAATCTTTGTTGCATATTTTGCCTACATTTGAATACAATAAAAAAAACACCACATGTATCTTTTGCAAAACACAAAGACGTATTGTGGGGAGTCGGGAGTGGACATTTGCAATAAGATGATAGTGCAAGGAACTAACATGACATAAGCCCTGATTTTTTAATATATTTTTTTTTCAGACCTATTGACACTATCCAAGAAGATATGCTGGAACAGACCTTGAATATAGTAAATCTTGCCTCTGATAAAAACATAGAGAAACTCTGGACACAAGGATGATACATAAACAATGTTGATATTATAAAAATATCACTCTTTTTGTCATAGAGTATTGAGAGAGTGTTTTTTACTTATTAGATGGAGCTAAATGTAGTGTGAAGTCTTCTGTGTCCAATCGGAGACTGTTAAAATTTTTGTAGCCTAGCGGTTACAGACCTTACGCCATAATAACGCCATCTGTTGAGTAAAGAAGCACTCATAGTTTTAAGATATTTATGCCCGTTTTCACCAACAGCCCCTAAACAGTCACCTTAGTAAGGGCCACTTAAATTAGGGGACCGTTCAAATCATCCCTTAACTTAAATTTTGTTTCACTGCCCTAAGTGTCACCTAACTAAGAGCCCCCTAATTAGGTGACGTTTAGTGTTGAGGAACTATGCAAACAGTTATCGATAAATGAATCGATTAGACAATTCTATTGTTATTTTCGTAAATATACAACCTTAAAACAAGTAATTAACTTTTCTAACTTCAATTTATTTCGAAAAGAAGAGTCTTGAACTGGTGAATGTTAGATTAGTCACAAAAAATTGTGTTTTTATTTTTTGGCTGTATGTTGAATGCCATAGCTTACAAAGACGCGGTGCCGGTGACATTTTGATGCCACTATCCAGTGACAGTTTCATTTCAATCATTTCGTGTATTTTCAAAAAATACCAAATTTTTATTAATTACAATGGCAGAAAAGAGGAAACGTGGTCAAAATTTTTCACTTGAAGATGAAGAATGTTGTTTATCCTGGCTAGCGAGTCACCACATCAGTTATTAATAATTTTGCAGTACTTATTGTTTGCATATTAATAGACATACTGCTTTTTCTATTCCAGAATAGTTCGGCATCATCTCCTCCTATAATTTATCACATGAATAAATGTAAAGAAGGTTTCTAGTTAATACAATTAAAAGACTTTTGAATATCATTATTAGAGACATCATAGAAAGACGATAGGTGTGCGAACGACTGTATTCGCTGGAGGCTCAATAAATATGACACAAAGATCTGCCGTATCTGTATGTGTGCGTGTCTATCCATCTTATTAAATCATGTATTATTTCATAGGAGATTCAGTAATAAATGGTTACTCGTAAGGACCTGTGTTTCTCTAAACGCCCAACCTTATAATTGAATTTTTATGTGTGTACAGTCTATACATCCTAAAACATTTGGAAATCAAGCTATTCTGTAAAATTCTTCTTTTACTATTTGTTGTTTTTCTTCGGTGTCTGGAAATTGTATGAATTCGCTTTGCCACGAACCACGATAGCGTCAGACACTCTTTTTATAATTCTACTGCAAGTAGATACACTGATGGGATTGAGATCTGCTACAGATAATAATTGATTGCCTGTTGCATAAAATCTAAGGGCACACAGTAATTGGTTAATCGGTGCCACAGATTTATTTCTTTAAATACAAGTAAGGTTGAGCAGGGAACCTGTATCTTATGAAAAAGTCTTTTTCATCATATTTTTCAAAATCTTTCGATCTTTCACGATAAATACGAGGTCGTCTATACAAATGTCGGTTACTTAACAATTCCATATCTTCAATTGCTTAAAATCTTCAAATAAATAGTGGTTATTATCTTATTATCCATTTTTATTATTTTTTATCTTATTCAGTAGGATAAAATACTGTTTGGTGATTCGCAAAAATCCTAACACTATGTGTCACTTAAACGTTACGGGGTCGTCAATTCATCCCCTAAATTATAAGGAACCCCTAATGATATAAGTGACACTTAAACGTTGGTGAAAACAAAACTCGCGAGAAGTGCCCCTTATATTGGCTTAAGAGACACTTAAATTTTAGGGGCTGTTGGTGAAAACGGGCATTAGATGAACTTTGTTTTCAGTTGTACCCAATTGGTCTACAGATTTGTTTTAGGGTATTGTAGATTTATAATTGTGTAATCGCGTCCTAGTGTCTCGAATAATTTTTAACATATTAGTGCGAGTTAAACTCGCATTTTTTTCTTAATAATTACTTAATGTATTAAGTTATACCGTGATCAATGCTTTACAAAATAAAATAAGAATAATTTCTGAATGTTTGTTTATTATATAAACTCAGTGCTATGCGTAGGACCCAGTTCTTGGAAGGAATAGGTAAGTTTACAAGTTTTTTTGTAAAGGCAAAATCAACAATTTATCTCTCGTGTAGGGTAAGGTGTGGTTGTCAGACTTACTGACTAAACACTCCTGTCGTTTCTTCTGCTCCAGGTCGGGGCCGCAGTACCTTATTGCGCTTGCCACGCATCCCGGCTAAAAATCGGCCCTTTTAACTAACCCTTTAAGAACCGTTTGTATTGACTCTTAAGGGAAGCGCGCGCACGCTACGTGCCTTACTAGCAGTCTAATTCTGGTTGGATGGCTAGCTACCCTTTCTCGCCGTCCGTAGACACACGCAATAAAAAAGATGAATGGAAAATACAGATGTGATGATAAAGATGAAAATACAATAAGTTCAAAACAAGTGTTTATTTTTTCTGTACAGTTTGTAAGAGATGCTTAGCACCCTCCGAAGTTTGCTGTTTCAATATATTCACGTGAGGTTTGATCTTCTTTTTTAAAGCGCTCGCTGCGTTCTCATTGTTTTCTATTAATTTCAGCAGGAAGAAACATCCTCTGTTGGTTGGAAGCCATAGTTTAATCTGAAAACGAAAGTAAATAAATTAGGTATTGATATCGCAAGTTCTTTAACTTTATTCAAGGTCATATAGCTTCATAACAAGATCCGACGATAATTTTAAAATCAACTGATGACGTCACAAATCTTAAATCGCTCAAGTTAGCTAGTAAGTAATGTTATGTGTAGATTAGCACCCCAGATGCGACGTACAAAATGTTGGGCAGTACCTCGTCAGGCATGATCACCTCACCTTCATCGATCTCAGGGATCTTTACTCTGTACCCTAAACATTTTATAGTTTATTGGTGGATTGGCTGCAAGACTACTGAAAAGTGTTTCGGTATATTTCCAGAGTCAATAAAATCCATACACTTTTAACATTTTATTACTAAATTTTTATTGTCTGGAGTAAGGGATAGCTTTAATGTTAGGATCACCCCTATTACAACTTTAATAACTTACGTCAATACTGTTAACAATACAGTATCTCTCCAATCCTATCAGTAAATAACAAATGTTAAAATAAGTATAATATTCAAAAAGCACTTACAGTTTCATCTTCCAAGTTTTCAGCGATAGCCTCGCCCAAGGTATTGCCATCCTTATCTTTATCCAGGGCCGCCAGTTTCTTCAGACACATGTGAATGCCAGCATCTTCCACTGCCAATAACTCTTTACCATCAGCAGCGATGCGCCAGTCAGGTTTACATATGACCTTGGCTAAAGCTTCTAAGATTTCCTTGCTTGATTCTGAAAGCATATAAATATTTGTTACAAATATTCTTCTAATAGCAAAAATAGCTAATCCAATGGCTGCTACGATTACAAGGTTCTTTACTTAAATATGTCTTTGTATTTAATTTTATTTATAGGGTAGAGACAATAAACAGGCACATTATTAATAGTGTACACAGGCATTGTAAATAAAACTTCATGTAACAATGCAGCCCACAACATTATCCACCAATTAACAGATAATTATAAACATGGAAAATTATGCTTGTTAAGCTATTTAGACTTTTAATTACTGGCATAAAAAGTCACTGAATGACATATAAACATATGATTTACTTAAGTGAAAGCGTGAAAACCTGGAATCTGTAATGAATGTTAATTTGTATTGTTTTAAAATTATTTAATATTTCGATTTTCGAAATGATTAGTAATAATAGACTTAAATAAAGTCCCATGAAGTGTATTACAATTGGCAATTAGCAATGGATTCACAGAAAAGGTTACCTAACTCAGCCAGTTTGCTTTATAAATACATACCTATTGACAACACAGCAACAGTCAGCAGCATATTCGTTTTACTACTAAGCCAGAATTCTGGTTCTTCTTCCATATCCTTCTTCAAAGCTGGGAGGATAGCTTCCCTCAGTTCTGATACACGAAGTTCCGTATCTTTTTTGGATGTGCCACTTTTGGCACCCTCCTCCAAGAACTTTATAAAACTAGGGTGGAAAGCGCCAGAATCTTTTGGTTTCACTAGCCAGTGTAGGGTCTGAAAATGAAATTAATTTATAGATAATTTTAATTTAAAGACAGTTTCGGGTTTAGACGTCCGAAATTACGAATCCATAGTAAGTATAGTGATGATGATGAATAGTCATTTCTGCTCAGTTCAAGAAGAGCCAGTTAAGGATAATATTGCCAGAGTATTCTTGTGTTTTTTTAAATTAATTTTATATGTATGAATAAACAAAATCACTATTAAGTAAGTAACTTACCATATTACCCCAATGATCTTTAGCAATATCTTTCAAATTACTAGCTAATGTTGAAACAATTGCTTTCTTGACTAGAACCGTGTCGTCAACGGAGTCGAATATAGCGATGAGTAGGCGATAGCCAGTCTTGTGTTTACTGAGTGGCACTGCATGTTCCTTTACCACTTTCAATATAGTCTGCAAGATAAAACAATAAAATTTTATTTTTTGGACGCAAATATTATATCTATACTAATATTATAAAGAGGTAAAATTTGTAAGTTTGTATGTAGAGGGTAATCTTTAGAACCGCTGGTCGGATTGCCAAAATTCTTTCACTGATAGATAGCTATAATGTTCCTGAATGCTATAGGCTATAAAACATCACGCTACGATCAAATGGTGCTGAGCAGCGGGTGAAACCGCGCGAGAGTAGCTAGTTTACTACAAATTAAGTTAAAAGTCATATTTATTAAAAACTTGCTGTTCTCACCTTTTTATCTTTGTTGGTTCCTTGCCAAACACAGATAGAGGCAGCGTTGGCGCCTGGTAGTGAGTTACTGAGAGGCACAATGAGAGGACTAAGTGTCGAGATTAACTCTACACGGTCCTCCGCACTACACTCACGAATGTAGTCATACAGGATTGAGTGGAATAATCTGTAATCAGTTTTTTATATAATGTTAATTGTGTTGAACTTTTAATAACCATAGTAAAAAATCAATAAGATAAGTTACTTTCAAACTTAGACCACTAATTAGCTTATTCTTTTAGATATTTATTGTTTTAGTCTATTAAAAGTTTATTTAAGTTTTTATAATGACTATAATGATAAATGTCACTGAGATTTGGAATTTGTTAGTAAATATTGAAAGTTGTAGATCTAGTATAACTTTTACTTATTAAAATATTATAAAATGAAATACATACTCTCCATCATGAAGATTTTTGTCTAAAATCTTCTGTATGTTGGCCTTGCAAGCCTGCAGAATGGCAGTCTTCATTTCAGGACTATCCTTGTATGTGTCACTCAATGTCTTCACTTTGTCATCCTTTGTCTGTAAATAATAAAAAAAATATATTGTAGAATATGTCATATTATTTGTTGTGGAGAGTAAATGGTTTAAATTTCTAGTATTGGGTCTAGGACATTCAAAAACTTCTTTTCAGATTAAATTCAAAAACTTAGCAATATTATCTTTTTTTAAATCAAACATAAACACCAGAAATATAAGTAAACTTACATTTTTATAAATGTCACCATAAAATTCTTGTTGCATATGACACTTCTCCTTCTTAGTAGCAAACTCCCCATAAGCATAATCTAATACCGGAGCGCTGATTGCATGAGTGGCAATCGATACAATATGGCCATAGAACTTCTTTAGGACTTCATGCCTAATGAAATCAGTTCCATATTTCAAGATTCGTTTAACAGCATGCTGGCCATACTTAGATTGTACCATTTGCACCATTAAGTCTAACAGTTCCTCCGTAATCTCATTCTTGATGTCATCTGGGCCATACTTGAGTAACACTTGTATGACTCGGCTGAGATCATGTGTTAGGGCTATAGATTTGTAATGGCCTTTCAGTAAACAATGCAGTTCTTTACAGGAATTTAATCTGAAATCTGGTTTTACAACTTTCCTGAAAAAGTAAGGAGATAATCATGTGTATCATTTGACACCATTTTATGAAGATCGTTTTTTTTATGTATTGAGAAACATTTGAATAATGTATAATTATTCAACATTGAGTTGGTACAACAGTATGTTAACTAAAGATTTATTTTGAAAGTATGAGGTTATATCAACAGCAGAAAATAATGAGGAGGAATAAGGTGGTTATTACAAATAACACAAAGTTTTAGGTTACCTTTGTATCTGTGCAGCCAACAATTTAGCTTTGTGAGACACTTCAAACACTTCAGCTGTGGTCTTAGCCTTGCGCCTCACCAGCCTCAGCTCTTTTTTTTCCTTTTTCATCTCAGACCACTTCGGCTTCTCGCCATTTGCCTGATCTTTCGAAAAATTCGGTTTTCCCTTCCCACCTTTCGCTTGGTCCTTACCGAAGTTAGGTTTTCCTTTGAAACCTTTGCCATCCTTGTTGAAATTCGGTTTTCCTTTGCCATCTTTGTTGAAATTAGGTTTTCCTTTACCGTCTTTGTTGAAATTCTGTTTGACTTTACCATCTTTGTTGAATTGAGGCTTTACAAACTTACTAGGACCTTTCGTCGCATCTTTCTTGAATTTATTATTTTTCACGTTTTCACCTTGTTTCGGCTTGCCATCACCATTCTCGAAGCTCACCTTCTTCTTTTTAGGTGAACTAGAATCATCTTCATTTGATTTTCTTTTAACTTTCTGCATCTTTTATACAATTACACAAATACTGCACGAGGTTATGAAATAAGCAAGTAACAAATGTACTGTTGTGGATAACTATGTGTTCTATTGTTTTTTAATAATTATATCATTTCAGCCATATAATATGCAATTAATTAATATTGAAATAAACTAATGGTGAAGTTTCTGAAATTATAAAATGCGGTTCTTATAACCACACGTGCTATTTACCAAACTTAACAAATTGTCATTGACAGTTGACAGTGACACTATATTTGAATTTTGTTTTGAAATTATTTTATGGAGTTTACGAACTTTACGAACAGAGTTTGAATTTTTAGCATGAACTTTTGAGCTATTTGTAATAATAAACAAATATTTAATGATCGATACTATTTTTATTCAAAGATATGTCAATCTATAAAATTTCCAATAAATATCAATATTTTAAAATAAGGTAAAGCTAAATTATAAAAAGTTGATTAATGTTCTTTTGCAGAACGAAATACAGTTATTCTGTCATCTTTGTCAATGTCAATATTTATATGTCAATCAATGTCATTTGTCATCTCGTTATCGCGTAAGAAAAATGAACACAACGAGTAGAAACTTGTTTGGTTTTAAAACTTATAATTATAATCTTTTATATGCAATTTTATGAGTGAATAATTCACTGAGGGGCTATCATGGTTGACATTAACAAATATTTAGAGAGACAGCTAGAACTTGCAAAACAGAGAGTTGTAAATAAAAATAAAAAGGATAATATTTCGCAAAAAAGTAAAGCCGCTGCTGAAGTTATATCTAAGAGGCAATCAAAACAGTTTTCAAAACAGCCTACTATTAAAGAATCAGAGAAGCATGTACCAGAGCCAGTGCCGACAACTTCGAGAGAGAGAAAAACAACGGTTTCTACAGAAAATGAATCCGATGAGGATTATCTACCTTCCGAAGAAGATGCTGATGACGAAATCATTACCACAACAGTTGGAGGACCATCTACCTCATTTGTCTCACGAAATAAAAAGAACCTCAAGAGAATTGTGGATGATGGAGACTCAGTTTTTTACAATGAGAGAATAGAAACATGGAAGAAAAACTTGGCGGCTGCTAAATTAGGAAATTATGAGGGTGATACTATGACAGCTGATGTACAATATGTGTTAGAAGGTAACAAGGATCCAGAAGAACCTCATGAATTACAGAATGGCCTTTGTGTACCTAACTACATCTGGAGACAGTTGTACAAGTTCCAGAAAATTGGTGTCAAATGGTTGTGGGAACTCCATCAGGTAGATTCAGGAGGATTGCTTGGTGATGAAATGGGTTTAGGTAAGACTATACAGATTATTGCATTTTTAGCAGGCTTGTCAAAAAGTGACCTTGGATCTTGGGGAGGATTGGGCCCTACTATAATTGTAGCCCCAGCAACAGTGATTTACCAGTGGGTTTCCCATTTTCACTTTTGGTGTCCACATTTAAGAGTAGTTGTCCTTCATCATACTGGTTCTCATGTGGGTAATCATAACCAACTGATCCGAGATCTACATACAGCACATGGAATCCTTTTAGTGACATATGCTGGCATAGTGAAATACACTCAAGATCTGACTGCCCGTAAATGGCATTATATTATTTTAGATGAGGGTCATAAAATTCGGAATCCTGACACACAAGTCAGTAAGTTAGTTAAGAAGTTTCAAACTCCTCATAAGATACTTATAACAGGTTCTCCCATGCAGAACAGTTTACAAGAGCTGTGGTCTTTGTTTGACTTTATGAGACCTGGACTTTTGGGCACTTATACTGTTTTTATGGACCATTTTGCTACTCCAATCACACAGGGAGGATATGCTAATGCTACAGAATATCAGGAAGCTACTGCACTAGAAATTGCAAAGGCCTTAAAGACAATTATCACACCATACATGCTGAGAAGAACAAAAGCTGAGGTTCAAAGTCATATAAAACTTCCTGAGAAGAATGAACAGGTTTTATTCTGTGCATTAACTCAAGAACAGAAGGATCTCTATATGGGATACCTCACTGGTAGCACTGTAAGAAGCATCTTAGATAAAGACAATAAATATGGAGACCCTTTAAGAGCCAGGATATTAGTTGCTTTATGTACTTTGAGGAAAATTTGTAATCACCCTGACTTGTATCTTTATGAGGCACATGAAGAATGTGATGAAATTGATCAAGAAAGATTCGGTAACTATAAGAGATCTGGAAAAATGACTGTAGTCAATTCTTTACTCAAGATTTGGCAGAAACAAGGTCACAGAGCTTTAATATTTTCTCAATCTAGAGGTATGCTTTGCTTATTAGAGCAATATTTACAAGTTCAACAATTTAAATATTTGCGTATGGATGGCTCGGTGAATGTTGGACAGAGACAGAATATGATCAAAACATTTAATGAAAACCCTGAATATTTAGTGTTTCTGGCTACAACTAGAGTTGGGGGCTTAGGTGTTAACTTGACTGGAGCTGACAGAGTTATAATTTATGATCCTGACTGGAATCCAGCCACTGATGACCAAGCAAAAGAAAGAGCTTGGAGAATAGGCCAGAATAGAAATGTTACAGTTTACAGATTATTATCTGCTGGTACTATTGAGGAAAAAATATATCAGAGACAGATTTTCAAACACTTTCTGAGTAATAAGATATTAATCGATCCTAATCAGAAGAATGTGTTAACTACTAGTACTCTTCAAGGCTTGTTTACTCTTGAAGAACTAAACTGCGAAGGAGATACTGAAACTGCATCTCTTTTTAAACACACCAAAGTCAATGTTGATCATAATGCAAAAAGTAAGAAGAACAATAATGAAGAGGCTAGTGGAAGTATTTCAAGTTCCAAGAAAAAATTAGAAGCCATGAAAAGGTTGGCAAGAGAAATTAGTAAAAAGATTTCAAAAGAAAAACAGCTAACCGAAGATAAAAAAGAAGAAAAGGATCCTAGAGAAGAGTATAAAAAGAAACGAGAGCTGCTATTAAACCCGCCTAAAGTAGAAGTACCTGAAATAAATTTAGTTGATGATCAAGTTACTGATGTACCATTTGATCATGTATTATCTGAATTAGATATCGTGAACATGCACGCGAAAAAGGATTATGAAGAAAATCTATTGAAACATGTTTTGAAAAACCAAGAAAATGCTGAAGATGATGATCACGGTGATAAAGAGATTCCTGAAAATGAAACATGTGATGGTCAAGCACAAGAAAATATATCCAAAGAACAATCTGTGAAAGAAAAATCACCAGAGCGTGATAAAACTAGTATTTATCAAGAAGTTGATAAAACACGCAAAAGAAAACATTCCCCAGACCCAGAAATAAGCGTTGAAAATCTGGTGGCAGTTAAAAAGGTTAAAAAGAAAAAGAATAAAAAAGAAAAGGAGAAACAAACTGATGACGATGATTACGTACTGAGTAAACTTTTTGCTAAAGCCAATGTAAAGAGTGCATTACAACATGATGTTGTGGTTGGCTTAGCTGAAAAAGAGAAACGGCATAAGATCAAAGAGGATGCAGTAAAGAAAGCAAAAGATGCAGTCAGAGCTATTAGATTTTCTTCCAAATGAATCACATCCATGACAATTTTTTATGGTATTTTTTGTTAGACTATAAGTCACAAAAATATATTCGTATTTTGTTTTTTCAATATGAGTTTTATTTACTTGTAATGCCAGAATTGAGAAATCTATTATAATATTATGAAGAGGTAAAATTTGTAAGTTTGTATGTAGGGGGTAATCTTTGAAACCGCTGGTCGGATTGCCAAAATTCTTTCACTGCTACAATGTTCCTGAGTGCTATGGGCTATAAAAATATTACGCTAGGATTAAATGGAGCCGAGCAGCGGGTGAAACTGCGCGAGAGTAGCTAGTTAATGATAAAACAGTGCGTCGTGACTTCGTGAGCAGGTACATCTCTGATGCGCTTGTTGTAATTTTGGTAAGATGTGAAACGACACTTAGAATGTAGGGTTTTGTCCCATTTGGTTTCATACTTTATTATAACAATAAAACTTAAGGAGTTTTTTTTTTTTTTGATGAATGAAAATCATCACTTTACAATTTGAATTTTCCGGCCAGGGTGAGGCGAGAGTGAGTGTCCCATTCTTACCGACTAAAAACCCCCCGGTCCTTTTCCTGCTCTAGGCCGAGGCCATGGTGTATGAGACACCATGCGCTTACCCTGCAACCCCGGCCTCCGGCCTGGCTAAAACTTTACAGAACTAAAATAGTGATTATTTTTTTTACGTAGGTACTCATTGCATGATGCTATATCATAGACAAAATAAAATCACCTGCCTACCTTCAATCCAAACAGTATAATAATAAGTAAAGGGGATTCTTATTCAGAGTATCGAGTGTTTTGTGAAGCGGACCTTCACATAATCACGTTTTAATTTTTGTGTCAATCAGTTGGGATTTTGAACTGCCTTTTGTTGGCTTGGTTAGAATTTTTTATGGCAACACTAAAACTTAAATGTCAAAACCTAGCTGCCTTCGAGTGTTTAATTTTTGGAAATAAAATTAATATTGCTAAATTATTCGCGATAACAAGTATCAAGCTTACGTCCAATATTGCCTTAGACTATGTGGGTGTACTTTAGATGTAAACTTTGTGTACAATATTGTTAAGTTAGCAGTTTGATGTAAAGCGTATCGTGGAGGGATTTGGGAAAAATTCTAATAAGATTCGAGGTTTCTGATTAGTCTAGTTAAGAAGACGTCGACGATATGTCGAGAAGAAAGTTGCCGCCGCCAGGTTTCAACTTCAAGCCTCCAGAGGAGCAGATCGTGTGAGTGTCGAGAGTTCACCTAATCTGTCTACCTGACATTTATAGTTGCAAGGTTTTGGGTTTCTGCATACACTAAAATATCTCCCTATCACATTAAACTTAATGAACGGATGCAATGATGTGTTTCATCTTGTTATTTAGTATTTACGTTTAAAAACCAAGAAACCCAATTAACCTTGTTTGGTTGTAGTGTGGTATATAGCTAGCTTGTCAGATGACTTTGAATGTATACAGTGTAGCATCAATGATAAGCATAACATACCTATATCAAAAAAGTCCATACACACTTAATAAATAAACAGATGGAGGTAGCAAATTTTAATATTATTACTGATTATAGTTTTTTGCTTACTTAATAATTGATTTAAAGTATTAAATATCAACTTACATAATTGCTTGATTATCATCATAGTAAAATGATATAATACTGCATAATCACATCATTTAGTTGGAGGTTATCTATGCACCTAGACAGGATTATCAAAATAATAAATAGTTAAAATTCTTGTTAACAGTTATGTGCCTAATAATTTAAATACATATAAGATACATTATTTCAGAGATATACACACATAAAAAAATACTATTGCAACATTATGATGGCACTGCAATATACTCTTTATAGTAATTGTTGGCATCCATATATTTATGTATGTAAAACGGACCAACTTAAAGCTCTGGTCAAACAATGGTCTTGTCACAAAATGAGTTTACAAAACCCTTTGTAAAATATCACCTAATAATAGCAAAAATAATACTATTAAGATTAATCCTAAATGAAATTTACTCAGAACACCACCAAGAAACTTGGACAAGCAGACTACAATCACAGTAGATGACAAGACATTCACAGTGCATGCTGATGACCTGATAAAGATTTGTGACCTGGGCCGCGGTGCCTATGGTATTGTGGAGAAGATGAAACATATCCCCAGCGACACCACCATGGCAGTCAAGGTATTTTATATTATCATTCTTAGCTTTCTTTGTAGGCATTGTCATACTCAAAACTTTCATTTGAAACTCTGAAAAAATGTTTAAAAATTAAAGTATCAGTCTGTCTCTATTTGCTTGTTTCTAGGTTTTTATGAAACAGAACAACTGACAAACTACATGTTTGCTTATTTTCAATCAGTTTCACAGTCAAATTTTTTCTAATTCTTGTAAATTACAGCTTAATATATAATACCTACTTAGAAATTTTACTTGCAAATCTTGTGAGTGTATGTGAAATTGTATGTTTGTAAATGTACCTATTACACTATTACCTACTATTAAATTTATGAGTGCAACGAAGACGAATGTGCCATATACTATGTATATTAATTTTACAGTAAATAATTGAGAAATTAGAATGAAGGTTGAATAGCAATGAAATATTACTTGTATTTGTAGCAGTAATGTATTTTCATGTGATGATTAATGTTTATTTTAATGGAGGCTAAGCAAATGAGATACAATTACCATTATGGTTTTATTAATATTCTTCAATTTACTTTTGAGACACATAAGCAAAGGCTACTTTATTTTTCCTTTTTTTTATTTCTAGAGGATCACAGCATCATTCAACAGTCAGTCTACAGAGCTGAAGCGTCTGCTCATGGACCTGGATGTGTCCATGCGAGCCAGTGCCTGCCCATATACAGTGCATTTCTACGGCGCCATGTTCCGCGAGGGAGACGTCTGGATCTGCATGGAGGTGATGGACATGAGCCTTGACAAGTTCTACATGAAAGTCTACCATAACAACCGCACCATACCTGAAAACATTCTCGGGAAAATCACGTTCTCTGTAGTCAGTGCTTTACACTATTTATATTCTAAGCTCAGAGTAATTCACAGAGATGTGAAGCCATCTAATATTCTGATCAATAGGAAAGGAGAGGTTAAGATGTGTGACTTTGGTATATCTGGATACTTAGTGGATTCTGTTGCTAAGACTATTGACGCGGGCTGCAAGCCATACATGGCGCCCGAGAGGATCGACCCTAGCGGCAACCCGGGCCAGTACGACATCCGCAGCGACGTGTGGTCGCTCGGTATCTCCCTGATAGAGCTAGCCACTGGCAAGTTCCCCTACAACACGTGGGGCACGCCATTCGAACAGCTCAAGCAAGTCGTCAAGGACGACCCCCCGAGACTGCCGAGCGGACAGTTCTCCGAGCAGTTTGAGGACCTGATAGTGCAATGTCTGCAGAAGGACTACAAACAGAGACCGAACTACGACGCGCTGCTGACGCACCCATTCTGCCTCGGACACAGTCAGGAGATCGATGTCGCGACTTTCGTTCAAGAAATATTAGACTTACCAGATGCGTCCTAGTGATGGACACTATTTACGTACCTATTAAGTACAAGCGTTTACCGACTAACCTTAATGTAGTTTAATAATTGAAAGATATAAAATAATGTTATTAACCATAAAAAATAAATTATGTATTCTTTATCGAGTGCCGACCGCCAACGGCGTGCGCGGTCATTTTAAATGTTTGATTTCAGAGATGATTTATTATTGTCTATTACCTGGAGTGATCATGTTTTGTGTAAGAGGAACATTGTCAATTTAGTAACGTAGCTGTAGTAAGAGGGTAGATGAAGTAAGAATAATTTTCGCTAATACGGTTTTATCTACATAACTATAGTCTGTTAATTTGACCTCAGAGCTCAGAGCGAACAAAGGAATTGGTATAACAAAATAATGACTGGCAACATTTAATAAGCATCACAAAATTATCATAATTTAGTTTTAAAATAAAAAGAATATTTGTTTTCAGTTGTGTGGTTTTCTTTATATAACCTTATGCACTTGCTTCTTAATGAAATAATAAAAATGTAATAATTGTTTATAAGGTACGAAATTTATTTATTTAAAATCATCAAAACATCATATAAAGTAAGTACAAAATAGTACTAAGTACAAGGTCATTTTCTCTTAAAAATAAACGCCAGACGGCTTCGATACGATTATTCTCAGTTCAAATAAAGTATAATTGACTAGACATTAGAACGGGGAGTTCATTCCCAGTTTGGTGCCGAAGTCGAGACGGGCGCGCCGTTGGTTGCGTCCGTCCACCCTGAGGATAGAAGAAAACAATGACTATGCATACTGCTATGCACTAATTTCAAAATAATAGAGTTGACTATTAATGGTTAACATTTTGTGCCAATGTTACAAAAATTGCAGAATGTCGCGTAAAACAGGCCCTTTTTTTCTAAAGATTTATACAAATGTCTGCATAGTTGACTCGTCAGTCGCCATGTGACTTACTTGATCTCCTGCCACTTGATGAGCTCGTTGAGAGCGAATACTAGGAACAACGAGGCGGCGTACCCCACCCACAGTGGCCAAGGGACATAGTACCGCAGCTCGCACAAACCCCACTTCTCGCAGAACCCATAGCTACTGCTTAACATTATACAGCTGAACGCCAACTGGGCTAGCATACTGTAAATTTACAAAGATACATACATATTATTAAAATTATTCTCCCTTGTTACTGATATTCTCACAGGAATCACTCACTAGTGCAATCTTGCTTTACGTTCAGGATCGATATTTTAATAACTTTCAGTGCTCTGATTGGCTTGTTCTAAGTTAGCCAACCAATCACAGGGCTAAATTCAGTAACAAGTAACCACGTTAAAGTAAAATAAATCTACTCGAAGATGGCGCATTCTATCAGACATAATTGAGTCACTAACTCTAAATAATATGTTTTTTTTTATTTTCCTTATTAATATGTATTAGTATGGTATCGCCCGGTGCTCAGCTTCTATTAGGTCGTAGTGATGGTTCATATTCATATATTGTTAAATTTAAACCAGTACTTCCAGAGGTTATTGCGTTCAAACAAACAAACAATCGGTGTATCGGTCCAAGGTTCTACGTATGTAAATTGTAATATATGTCTTATACTGTTTCATATAAAAGTGTAACGTTATATTATTTTTGTGTGGTATTTATATAAAATCCTGCATTTAATTTGGATTTCCAGAACCCTTTAATGTATCATGTATCAAATATTCAAATCATTGACATGACGATATGTTTAATTTGAGATTTATCTTATTTATTAATTTTTGACAATAACTATGGTTTTGCCATGAAAGCGTTATGTCGTCACAAAATTAATAAAAAATATCGTTTTGGTGTTTCAATAAAGTATTGAATTTGACTAGTGGGAAACTACCGGATTATCTATACTAATATTATAAAGAGGTAAAATTTGTAAGTTTGTAATTTGTATGTCTGGTCGGATTGCCAAAATTATTTCACTGATAGATAGCTACAATGTTCCTGAGTGCTATAGGCTATGAAACATCACGCTACGATCAAATCGAATGGGTTGAACAGCGGTTGAAACCGCGCGAAAATAGCTAGTGAATGATATAATGATAGTAATGTACTTACATGACAACAACAGTGACCGACCACACTTTGTTAGCCCAGAATCCTCTTTGCCACACAGAAGATTGTCGGTGAACGAATGATAATGATATCACAACTGGAAATTAACAATTTCTATAATCGTACATGTGATATAATGACAATGAAAACAACTTAACTATAGTTACAATACAGTTTCTTTTGAGTATTACTTGATTACACAAATATGGTCATGGATAAGAAAAAATAATTAACGATTATGTTTCTAGGTACATCATAAATTGGTCATACAGAAATTGTGGAATAATAACTACGAGTTCAATAGTTAAGTCCATAGTATTAACCTATCCCTGTGTCTTTGTTTCATTTTTTTCTGTAGTTTGTAGTGTTATTAAATAATTATTTGAATATTATGTTGTTATGTATAAGTGTTAAGAAAACGTTGCAAATAAACATAAGTACTCACTTAAATGCAAAGTTATGAGTGCTAGTGTGATATGCTGGGCGAGAAAGAATCCATCGTAGAAGTCGTCTCCCCAGCCATGCCAACTCTTGGTAGTTAGATCATGTGTGGCGGTGAATTCTCCTGAATTTATCGGGTACACTATCCAACATGCCGTGGCATTCGTTGCCAGTGCGATTTGTTCACAGAAAGCCCGCAATGTGAACCCGTATAGTACAAGTATGGATAGAGCGGCCGGTAGGAACTTTAATGCGTAGCACCAAAACACGAACACTGCCATCTGTTGGTGGAAAGTTGAAGTATAAAATTAGATTAGCGAACGGAGTTTCACACATCGAGCTACAACAAACATATGGTAAAGAAAGCTGGTAAATAATGCTTTAATTGAATCAAATCAATCATTACTTTTGGGTATACGGTTGTATACTGTAATCTTTATATATTATTCATGTCAACTCTTTTGGTGTACGATTCAGTTTATCTATTATACTTTTGTAGAATCATCCGCTCAAACTCTGTACTGTAGTTAAAATGAAATAGGAATTCAATGCTGAGCATTACAGACGAGTAGTGAGTGCAAACCTTGGCATTCATGATGAGTTGAGGTCTTGTGGCGGCGCGCTGCATGAGCGCGGGGTCGAGCGGGGCGAAGGCCAGGGCCGCCGCCAGCGCCGGCACCACGCAGGCGCCCCCCCACACCGCGCCCCCCACCGACAGTGACAAGGGTTGGAACGCCACTAGGGAACCCACCTGCACAAAGTATGCCAAGTGTTCAATAATCTGTTCTAAAGCACCCAATTTTTTTATGGAAGAATCGTAAAATGATTTATTCCGCCTTGACTGACTAAAAGCCAACCCGTTCCTTTTCCCTGCTTCGGGCCAGGGCCCCGGTACATTACTACTACTGGCTTGCACCCACAACCCTTGCTATCACCAAATCACCCAGTACCCATACTAAAATATGCCCAAAGTGACGGGAATAGATGGTGATGATATGAAAGCTTTTATATGAGTAGAATAGGATCTAAAATTAAACATGTTTTTTTTAAGGGTTAGGTCGGCAAACGAGCAGACGAATTAGCTGGTTGGTAAGCAATCGGCGCCGCCCATGGACACCCGCAACATTAAAGGAGTTACTACTTCGTTGCCGGCCTTGGGTTAAGGGTTTCGGATACTCAAAGATTGGGAAAGGAGGGGAGGGGGTGGGGGGGAGGAGGAGGGATTGGGCCTCCGGTTAGGTTACATTCGAACAGTAGATACTAGAAGAGTTACGAAAGAGGTGATTGAGCAAGAAAGAATGGTGAAGTCGGTAGAGAACGTAGTAGACAAGAAACCGTAGACTAAAAGGAGCAAAATAAAATCGACGAGCATGCACAAAGAGTGATTGATGTGTGTAGATGGAACCCCTCAACGGAAGATAGACTGATAGAGAGAGCTATGAATGTATTGTTAAATGTGGTTTTTGTATGAAAAGCTGCAGATGAAAATCAGTGGCAAGATATTTCTGCAATATTACTGTGCCAGTACCTACATCTGCTTGTGGCAAAGAAAAAAGAAACCCTATCATTCCTCACTTGTTATTAGCCGTACGTAATAGTTAGTTGGCGAAGAAATAACCATCCCCGTCTCTAACGCCCACCAGTATTTCATACCAAAAATCAACCAAACAAGGTACTTTGTAATCAGCAAACTCCTTGGATGCGACTCGTGAACATCTCAAATGTATATCGGAAGTCAGCCGTGTCAATATAATTTGTATTCAGCAAAGTTCACTAAAACTGTACCTGTTTGGAACAAAAGACAAAATATCGGACAATTTTCTTTTACATACAGAAAAAAATGTAAGTAAGCAAGTACCAATGCTTTTTCAGAGTTAGTTAAATGTACTTTCTATGATTATTTAGACACCACTGACATACGGTCAATAAAAACATCGTGAAGATATCTGAACTTACAATTTCTAATTATAAGTTTGAAATCTGCCTTGAACAAGCGGGGTGATTATTGCTCAAACCTTCTCCGTGTGAGAAGAGGCCTTTTCTCAGTAGTGGGCAATTATAGGCTGATGACGATAAAGTAAAAATTTAAAGCAGAAGTTTTGGAATGTCTTACTTTGATAATAACAATAATAAAGCTTTACATATGAATAAAAATATAAGTCTTGTTGTTAGTACACATTACCTGTAAGAGTGCAATGAAGCAGACGCTGCAGATCCAGAACTGCGTGCTGTTCCACAAGCAGGTCATGTAGTGGCGCGACATCGCGATCAGGGCGAACAGCGACACGTCCGCGTCACGGCTCATCTGACAATGTAATATTTATATTGTTTAGTCTTGAAACCTCTCAGGATAGCTCGATTAGTTTCGAGCCATAGCAGGCATCTTAAAACAACGTCTTCAACAAACATATATTATGTAGTTAATGCAGTCATGAAATATTGTACATACCTAATAAACGGCTACACGGAATATATTTTGAATAATTATTCAAAAATCGTATAATTATAATTATCACAAAAAATCTAGTACTAATCTAATTTCACTTAAGGCGACGAATTGTTTAACAATAATTCTAAAACCAGGCGCGCGCGCGCCCCGCACCCCGCACGCACCCCGGTAAGTTACGTATGCATTGCAACAGGCGGCGCCGGCGAGCGGCGCGCGGCGGTGGCTGCGCGGAACACAGACACCTTGGAGTTGTCTTATATATATTTTTTTTATGAATTTACCTATGAAGTTTTTTATTGATTGTCTTTTCGGAAATTAACACGTGGTAGTGTTATTCAAATAACGAAATTAAGATGTTCGTGATTTGAAAAACATTAGCACATCTCTTTTTAAAGTAATATATCTTTAAGAATTATATATTTTTTATAAATAATATTTAATACGATTAAAATATCATTATTTACTTTTACATAAGTATTCTAAGGCTGAAATCCTTTTTCTTGTAAGTATTAAATTATTGTGAGGGTGTGTGTGTTTATTTATTTTAACAAGGAACATAATTTATTATACATTGATCATCATCATCTTACTGCCCTTGTCCCGTTTTATTTGGGGTAGGCGCAACACGGTTTTTTCTTCCAGTCTATCCTGTCACTCGTTGCACTATCACTAACTGCCTTTTCTATCATATCACTTCTCACACAATCCATCCATCTTTTCTTTGGCCTCCCTCTCCCTCTCCATCCATCCACAGGTAAATTCATAACTCTTTTAGCAACATGCTTTTCATCTCTCCTCTACATTACCATACCAAGACAAACGATTTCATTTCAACTTTTCAGTCACTGGCGCCTCTTTCAAACTTCCCCTAATATACTCATTTCTCACTTTATCCATTCTCTTCACACCACACATCCATCTTAACATTCTCATCTCCGCTACATGCAATCTTTTCTCATCCGTCTTCTTCACAGCCCAACATTCTGATCCATACAGTATGACAGACCTTATCTTACTTATAGATTTATCTTATCTTACTTATAGATTTTACCCTTCAACTTGAGGGGCATCCGTGGATCACAGGTTGTACCCGTGACCTGTCGCCATTTCATCTATATCTATCACCATTCTAAATTGATATCATCTTATATATAAAAATGAATTTACAATAAAACACATAATATCTTACACTTCCTGTGTATTATCATTATTATACAATATTTATTATCGTAATAGGAAATTATTAAAAAATTAAGAATAAAATAAATTAAAATTCGGAAAATGAAAAAACATCCTCATATTCAACGACTGATTGTTGATTTGAATCAGCATTTTCTTTTCACGAGCCAGTTGCTTTTTCTAATTGTTCGTTGCAAGTATCTGGGACAGAGTTTTTATTGTTATGAACAATCACGTAATCCGGGTCACGAATAGGCTTGTTCCTGGTGTGCCTGGGGTCGACAAGTTCGGGAAGAAGACAGTCATAATAGAATTTTAACAACTTTGGTTCCATGTCTTTTTTCCAGAACGCATCATCCTTTTTAATAATTTCAGTTTCTATTTTATTATTGCCATACCATATACCCAATGACGTTGACGACTCCATAGTTTCGTTCTCCGAACATTGTTCCAACGATTGTTTCCTAAAATATAACACAATATACATATTTTTTATAATGAACTAACACTTTACAGAAGATATTGTAATCTTCTTCTTATTTTTATTGCGATTGTAGCACAAAAAGTAGAAAACATAATAGGTAGGTAATGAACCTACTTAGTTACTTACATATTTTTTGTCACAAAAATAAACATCATTGAAGTCACAGTCAAAGTGACTTTTTGAACGTCATCTTTTTTAGTAAACTACACATTTCACAATTCATTAAGAAAACTTACTTTCTTTTTCGTCATATTTGCACATTTTTCTAAAAGACATGCTCTTCTTTTCCTTTTGGAACATCTTTCTTTCTTTTTTCCCATTTTTAACCGACTTCTTATTCAATAAAACCGCTAAATTTGATCACACAATCGCCGATGCAGTCCGGAAGCGACTAGCACAGATCCGTCGCTGACAATGGTCAAGGGGGGACTGAGCGTGTCAGCGGGGCGAGGTTTGCATATGCGCGTTAGCTTATAACAAAACGACGTAAACGACAAAATGCTTTTTGTTATTTTATTTAGTCGGAAATGATAACTTGAGAAATTCCTTCTACAATTTTAAGGAGTATTTATAGACTTGTCTACAGAGCAAGTTGAGAGGCTAAAATCGGTCCCGTTTGCCAATAAAATGTAAATCTCTATTTAAAAAGAGGTATGTTTGATATTTTTTTCTCTGTTACAAAAGTTACTTAATCATGTAATGAAAACTAACAAAATATGGTTTTCATCATGAACTGTTCAGGTCACCAACTCATATTTTTATTCGTTTCGTAATTACTTAGAAAAATAGAGATCACTGATGCCAAAATGTCCAATTCGTCCTCTTAATATATACATACCTTTTGGCTACAGTAGTTTGTAAATGGTTGGTCTTGCCATTTATTTTGTAACTGAGCAGCGTGAAAATAATGAGCACACATAATTAAAATTGTAGTTTCTAATATTCTAATGACTTCTATAGTCAGAATTTTAATTCGATTCCTGATTTGAGATGACCTACTGTCATTTTGTGAAATTTTGATACCACATATAACAGTGTAGTGATGAACACAAAAATCGATAAACAATCAGTGAATCAGTTTCAGGAAGGCATTCAAAAAATTACGGCTACCGAATGGTCTAAATGGGTATCCCATGTTGTCAAAGAAAAGGAAAAAATGAGTAAGCTAGATATATTAATTGACAATAAAAATCACAGACACAATTCATAATAAATGTTACAGAAAGTAACAGCGATAGCGATAGCGATGACGGCGACAATTTATAAAATTTCTGTTTTATTGGTCATGTTCCTTCATGATCACATTTTTTATTAATTACACACACAATTACAAAAGAAAAGTCTCAGATCGTTAATTAATTGTCAAAACTAAATTATCGGTTCAGAAATATTTTATTTCCTGATAAACTTAGTGTACGAGAGTAAATTTATAAACGAGAGGAATCGATTCAGAAATATTCCATTTCCATATCGAATAATTATTCGCAACGTCACTATTTTATACGTGTCATAACGTTGCAACACTGAAATTGTCAAATCTGGAATGGAATTAAAATTCAGAGTATAGGTATCATTAGAAGTTTCTAATGAATATTCAACTTCTTTTGGAAACCCTGTGCCCATAAGTGATATATAAAAATATAAAGTTCATATATTATTAAATAAATAACAACTTTACTATTTAGCAATAAAGTTTAAAATCCTATGGCAACGCTTACACGGGTTGGTATTAAGGTAGTTTAATTTAGTTTGAGCATATTCACTTACCGATAGTGAACAGGGCACAGAGTTGAGCGCCCGCGCGAGATCGATGGGACCGATGCAGGACTCCGGCACTTGGTACGGCGGCATCTTCTGACATAGCACCGGGTACAGCGGCTCCACTGCTATGCTGGAGGTCAACAATGCAAAATCCATAATAATTTTTATACAAAAAATGTTGTGAGACATCAAAAAGTGCGTTGTAAAACATCAATGTACACATCTCACAGTCAGACCCAGAACAATATTTTGGAAGGTTGTCTGGAAGAAATCACCGTGAGTGATAAGACCGCCCATTGTACACTCTGTGGTTGTTAGCCTGCTCTTTGTGTTAAATTTTAATGTTGTGTACAATAAAGAATATATAAATAAGTAAATAAATAAATATTTTGCGGAACACACAAAGAGGCGCAGGAGTCGAACTTGCGACAAGTTGCATGACAGTCACTTGTCAAGCCATCGAGCCCACTCTGCATGCAATGGTAACAAACATCATCAGTCTATGTCACGGAATAGAAAATACAGTGGAAGTGCCGCTCAGACATCGCGCGCTAACCAACATGATGACTAGATATACAACATTTTGGCACATTTGTTGTCAGAATCGTTCGATCCGTTGTCATGATTGGTTGTCATGGTTGTCTCTAAGAAACACGAAATATATTAGAAATTATGCCTTGTTGTGCGGTTTTCAACTGCAAAAAAGTAAGCAGAAAAAAAGATGAGTCTTGTGGTGGTGTATCGTATCATCTTTGAGTATTAACCTTTGTTAATTTTAAATATATTTGATTTTAATGTAAATATCACATTTCATTACTTCAATGCAAACTATAAAGGGCCTTATTTTCATTACAATTAAGTTTAAATCTCCTTGTTCGTTATGTGACGTTATAAACAATACATTCTAGTAGTTTCGACGCTACTCATTTAGGGATGCGACATATTCGTAAAATAGGTTCATATCGATAATTTTTCATCATCATCGTTCAGAAAATTGATTTTTGTCAATTTTTGTGTACAATTCATAAATGTTTAGCTAAGATTGCACAGACACATCAACGTTTTAACCAAACACAGCGTGCATCCGTCTGTGGCAGGTGCGGGTGGTTAATCACCATTTTTATTTTATAACTTTTTTTCGCCAGCGGCTTCGCCCGCGTGCTGCGTTGATAAAAAGCGGCAAATAGCAATAGAACAAAATCTAAGTATACATAAAATTTGGTATTTATCGTCTCATTTTTATGGGTACATCTCCAATGGGTAAATACCCTATTACTTACTAAGTCTCCGCAGTCCGTCCGTCCATAGATAGAAAGGTACGGATCTAACTAATAGGTAAGAGTTACAAATATTTGATAAAACCTATATTATATTATATTTTATACCGCATCGTGTCGAGCACGGCAACCGCTACACAAAAATAATTCTTATACCATGATTCAGTGTTCACTTGCGACGGCGCTATGTCTTATTATCCGAATTGATAAGCTATCAGGAGTTACACGTGCTATTGTGAGTTAACCATAAAAGATAGACATATGCTGTAAAACATTTTTTTTAGACAATTTTATTTAATATATTTCCGTCATACATAATTTCTATGTAAGTTTAACCATTAAGGTTACACACGCGACTGAAACTTACAAAAGGGAGTAACTTCTCCCGTTTTCCCAACATTTTCCTTCACTGCTCTGCTCCTATTATTTGCAGCGTGATGAAAAGTATTCTATAACCTGCCCAGGAGTATAAAGAATAATTGTACCAAGTTTTGTTAAAATCCGTAGAGTAGTTTTTGTTTCTATAAAGAACATACAGACAGACAGACAGACAGACAAAATTTTTACTGATTGCATTTTTGGCATCAGTATCGATCACTAATCACCCCCTGGTAGTTATTTTGAAAATATATTTAATGTACAGAATTGACCCCTCTACAGATTTATTATAAGTATAGATGTTGTACATGATTTTTATCAGAGTTCCAAAAAGGAGAGTGACTCTCAATTCGACTGTAACATTTTTTTTTTGTTTTTTCGTCTCCGTTATTTATGAACCGATTTTAATGATTCTATTTTAGTAGGAAAGGAGATAAAACTTGTAGGAGCGCGTAGTTCTTTTATATGTTAAAATCGAAATCTTTAATAATAACTTGAACATCTCCAAAAAACATTAGATCTTCAAAAAATATGTTAATATTTTTCTTTTTTTCTATTAGAAGCTTTTTCATTACTGATCATTTGTAGGTATATCGTGTCGATAAATTATATTGCTCACACGAATACAAAAACATCGATATATTGGGATACCCTGCCCTATCTGAGTAGCAAAAAAGTAAATGTCTATTGGTACAAGTGCATACAAATATGACATCTATTTCAAAGAGGTTAGCGTTTTGAATAGAATGAATTTGTTACAGCGCCATCTAGCGTTGAGTGGCTGAATCCGTTTGTTAATTGTTTTATTTAATTTTTTACACGATAGACGCCTTTATTGATTGTGACATGTGAAATGATAACAACTTTCGCTCATTGTTATAAGACTCAATTTTTAACAACATTTAGAATATGATTTGCTAAAGTTGCGTTTCAACTTTTTACCCAATTATATAGCTGTTTTTTATGTGTGTAATGGACAATTTGATTTGCGAATGTGTGATTTTGGCGACACTGGTTTTCCTTTTGAAAGAGTGTAGGGGCACTTCTACTTAATTTTCTGTTCTGTGGTCTATGTAGTAGATGTGAGATTGTTAATTGCTTCGAGGACCGGAGGTAAAGGCTTTTGCTCAGTGGCAAGCACTGTCTCATAGACTGTACTATTGTACTACGTGTGTTTTATGAGCTCTTCGAAACTGAACACGAAATAAATGAGAATAACAACAGTAAAAATAATATAAAAAATAAGTGGGTTGTTTCGATCGGAGTGATACCACGTACTCACAAAAAACCGGCGTGAAAAAACCACAGCGTTGTATTTCACCGTGTGAGTGCCGGAAGCCCAATCATTCCGTTTCCCTAATCCCTCCCCTATCCCTAAACTTCCAAATCCCCGATCCTTAAGTCTCTCGTTATTTTGGATGTCCATGGGCGGCGCTGATTGCTCACCATCAGGTAATCCGTCTGATCGTTTGCCGTCCTATCACATGAAAAAGAACTACATGAACAACTTATTAGAATAAAATTCTTCCCTTATCCAAACAACGGCACATAAGGCTGAAAGTACCATTCTCTTACCTGGCATCAGCCTGCATAAATATGTCCATGTTCAAGCAGTTGGCAGCGGATCCCATGACGCAGACGACCTCGCCGTAGTCCTGCATGATCTGTATCATCTGCTGCACGGACCGCGCCGTGCAGTCCGTGAATAAGGATACCAGAAGTGGCACGTTGTCCACTTGTTCTATATGAGGACGGATGTTTTCAATGCCGCGGGGGAGCTTCGCCTGCGTAATAAAAATCTTTGTTTAATTAACTTCGTCCTATTACGATTTACAGCGAGACCCGATTAGTTTCGAGCTTGACTGGAGCTCTTATTCGTGTATAAGTGAGTCATCCTCAGGTTTATTAGAAGGATATTCGACACCGCATGCGGCCGCTAATATGACTAATAACTTTTTTGCTAATGTTGGCAAAAGTCTGGCAGAAAAAATCCAGGGACAGGTTTCTCAACCAAGTTCTCCAAAGAAGTGCACCCCCTTAACATCCTTTGCAATGATAGACACTGACGAGACTGAGATTAACAATATAATTATGACTTTAAAAGACGACAGTGCTGCTGGCTGGGACAATATCTCCAACAAAATCTTAAAACAATTTAGATACATTTTAATTCCACCTCTGACCTATGTTTTCCGCCTATGTTTATCATCAGGTGTCTTTCCCGCGTGTCTTAAAAAGTCCGTTATTATTCCGGTATATAAAACAGGCAGTAAAGAACAAGTAAAAAACTATAGACCTATCTCTCTGCTGCCATCTATGTCTAAAATACTGGAAAAGATAATAAACATTAGACTTCTTAAATATCTGGAGGATAGATCAATTTTATCGGAGCGGCAATATGGGTTTAGACCAAGACTATCAACAGCTGACGCGGTACACTATGTGACTGACTATATAACGCAAGAACTTGACAAGGGTAACCACACTTTGGGAGTTTTTCTGGACCTCGCCAGGGCTTTTGACACAATTTCTGTTCCTGTGCTGTTGCGCAAGCTGGAGACTATTGGTATAAGAGGAACTCAGCTCAAACTTTTTCAAAGTTATTTAGAAGACCGCACTCAGTGCGTAAGAATTGGTAAGGTCGTCAGCGATGATATAAAAACTACCCCTTACGGTGTGCCCCAGGGGAGCATACTGTCATCTACGATGTTTTTAATTTACATAAATGATTTATGCAATCTCAATCTGGAACACGGTACGATTGTATCATACGCTGACGACACCGCTCTACTATTTTCAGCTGACTCGGAAACTGATGTCTACAGGCTTGCGCAAAACGGTTTTAATAATGTAAATAATTGGCTTCGATGTAACTCATTGACATTAAACACAGATAAAACACACTTCATCAAATTTTCAATACGAAAAGAAAAATCTAGTATTGTCTCACCATTGCATGCCCATTATTGTAACACTCCCAACCAATGCTTGTGCCCTATCATTAACCGGGCCACTCATGTTAAATATCTCGGCATTATATTGGACGAAACTCTCTCTTTTAAACGGCATCTGGATGTATTAAATACTAGACTGCGTAAGCTTATATTTATTTTCAAAAAGCTACGCTATGTTGCTGATCCGAAAATAATCAGACAGGTTTACTTCGCCCTATGCCAATCAATATTGACCTACTGTATCACTTCTTGGGGTGGTACAGACAAGACTCTATTGTTATCTACCGAAAGAGCTCAAAGAGCTGTCCTCAAGGTATCTACTGGACGCTCTTACCTCTACCCTACTAATCTTCTTTACAAATCTTGTAATGTACTAACAGTTCGCCAGTTATTTATAATGAGCACTATACTTAAACAACATTCAACCCTTCCCTACAATCCTGAATTAATTACTAGAAGAAGGAAAGATATCGTTTGCCCAGCAAAAAGTACAAAACACACTTTTATAACAAAATTTTTTGTATTCCTCGGACCTTTCCTATACAATAAACTGAATGCGACTTTATCCTTTTACTCCTACAATCTCCATACCTGTAAAAAAATCCTCATCGAAGCACTTCAAGACATGTCATATGAAGACACAGAGAAGTTATTATTAGTTCCTAAATAACTGTGGTAAACGTTTTTATTTTTAATTTTATATTTTTGTTTTAATTATCATTTAAGTAAACATAGACATAGAGTTTAAGTATCGTTTTATCCTATTATTTATAATATAAATCGTAGCATTATTTCCTTTATTTAAAAACACTTATGTACTTATGATTATTTAACAATGTATAATATCTTTTTACCCATTTTCGCCTGAAACACAGGTTGTCCTAGTTCAGGCACCCAATATTATGAACTTGGTATAGCTTTAAGTAAAACTGTATATTCTAGATTATGTGTTCTTCAATAAATTTTATTTATTTATTATTTATTCTGCTGAAAATAAAATTAACAAGCGCGGATCTAAATGATAACTGGATTTGATGGCATTCAAGGTCTAAAAAAGATTATATTCAATGAACATAAACTATAAAACTTAATTTAGTCAATTGAATGAATATTAGATTTTTTATATTATTTATTTGCGTTTGACAAGGTAAAAAGGTGTCAACAAAAGCTGAGAGCTAAGAGCCGTTGTAGACCCTGTAAGGGCACAGTAAAATAGCCTTGTTACAGAATAGAAAATTCTTAATATCAAGGAATAGTCAAAATTTAAAATAAAATCAACGTATACATGAAACTTTAAACATAATAGCAACAACATATATATTGTCAAATGTTGCCATTACAAAGTGCTAAGGTTGATACAACTAACCCTGTTACTCATATCAAAGTTGACGGGCGCAGAGTGGTCGGTTGAGTCGGTGAGGCAGGAGAGGGAGCGACAAGCGTCCGCAGGGGAGCCCGCCTCGTCCTCCTCGTCATCATCCAGCAAGGAGTCCGCTGAAGGATGGCTCGTCGATATACTGCTGCGTTGGAACTGAAATAAATTAGTATTTGTAACATTTGGAAGGTTAGTTGCACCTTTTATATCTTATCTTACTTACTAATGTTATAAATGCGAAAGTTACGATTTTTGGATGTTTGGATGTTTGTTAGTCAATAACGCCAAAACGGCTGAACGGATCTGGCACAGGCATAGCCTCCGGAATCGGACATAAGCTACTGTCACGTGGAGCCTTGTTGCTGCCAAGCAACATTCTTGATAGAGCTTGATAAATGATAACACCTTGTTGGTTATAATGGCTGAATATTTATTTCTTGATACATTAACGCGAGTTTACAGTGAGTCAGACTTGATACGTCTGTCTAATATAATAAGAATATTTATTGTAATTGAGTAAATTGCTGACACGGTGACATGTGCGGTAATTGGACCGTACGGCTACTTTTTACCAACAACACACCATGCAGGCGGAAGCTAGAACTATAAACTATGACAACAGGATAAAAACCATAAAAAAGTGTTCGAAAGTGAAAGTTGACTATGATCAATCAATCAATCAATCAAACATTTATTGTGGATCATAGGTATGTGTAGTACAGGTCTTAAATATTTAAACATTTGGATCAGCTATGTCCCGCCCGCAGGGCATACAAAATTATTATTACAATTGACATGATTCTTTGTTCGACTTGATATACGTTTCCAAAAAACGGTAGATACTTTGTAAGTTTTGGAAATCCCTTAAGAGTTTTTTGGCAGCTGTGTCTACATAAGAAGTAGTATTCTGTAATCAATACATTTCTCCAAATCGCAACAAGATCGTTACAACCAATTGTTCCCGAATTTCGTACTTGGCATTAATGTTGCTAACACTAAAATTTTTTTTATAGATAATTTTGTCTAGCTATGGATATTGTGGGTTAAATTGTAACTGCAAAATGATATAATAATATTGTTTTACTAGATAGCAAATTTCCAAATCTTACGACTTCATTAAAAATAAAAGAAATTACATAGATGTCACCCAGAATTTTTTTTTGTTATTTTTTTAATCGGTTAAGTAATGTACATAATAATTAGCTAACTTATCAGCAAATATGGAGTACATACCTTGAGGTTAGTGTGTGTAGTGATAGAATGTCTAGCTTTCTTGATTTCATTGTCGAACTTCACTGTATTGTGATCCAGGTTGATGGCTCCCGGCGCTGACATAGACAATGCCTTCGATGTCGCCATATTGCTACTGTGACATTTATACATAGAGGTTCAATATTCATAATTTAAGACAAACTTTTTATAGTTGCTGAAATGTTCGAATAGGAAAGATGACATAATTTTCTTTTTCAAGTTCGAATTTTAAAATTATTTAAATGATTAAAGAGTAAAAGATTAACACCCAGTTTCTGAAAGGCTTGTCAATTCTTTGATCAACTAACACTGCGATTAATTTGACATGACTGTCAAATCAATTTGAGTTTCTGAAACGTTGATCAAGGCATAATTAACTAATCTATGATTATTTTGATTTGACATGCGATTTATTTTTAGTCATAGCCACACTGCTCTTTTTTGTTCAATAGTTCATTCTTATCTGTCAGATATGTTAATATTAAAAAAATTACGGACTGTCATTGATGTCTAACAATTCTGCGAAATTTAAATATCAAGTTACAATTTCAATAAAATGCTAACTAAACTTCCTTAAAATGGCTTATCGAGGGAAGAATTTCATCGAAAGGGAAAGGCATGTTCTTTTAGAACGAGTTCAGAAGTAAGTCAAAGTTTAAACATAATATATATTTATTACCTATTGCGTTTTATATACCTCTTGTTGTTATAAAATAATTAAATATCTTTGTTTATACTTTACATCCTGCGCTGCAGCCAAGACTGTTGTATAATACGCACAATATTTTATTACAGATACAAGCACATAATTGATAATCAGTTCACAAATACTATATCTAGTACTAATAAAAATTAAGGTCGGGAAACCATAATGAATGAATTCAAAAGTAATGCAGAAGTGTCTTGAAGCCAAAAACAGTAATCACAGCCCATGAGAATTAAAAAGAACTACGAGACAGAATAAAAATGTAAGTTTTTGATCTTAAAATACTTTTTTAGTGCCCACACTAGCTAGTCAGAATATTGTAACCGTTACCAGATTATGATATATTAAATACCTGTCCTGATTTCTTAACTAAGTACCTAATAATGTATTAAGAATAATTATTGCAACTTTAATGAAATTTATTTACAGGTAATTTAACTTGCACATCAAGGAAACAATTTAAACATGAGAGGCAGACACTCAGAAACAAAATAATAAGAAGCATAATGAAATAAAGTTGGAGTATGTAAATAAAAAAAAGAAGTTATTAGAAGATCGGTTAACTATAAAACAGCATATATTTCGAAATAAAATAAGTTATTTGGTTAAGAAATATACATTATTAGTATTTAATTTAAATATTGGTAGGTTACTATACTAACTAAATATGTATATATGTAAGTAAGATAATATACTTGTTTTTATATTTCAAGTGTTATATTATATTTTTTATAAAGATTAATAATTATATATTAATAATATGGTTATTTCTTTGTATTCACCTAAAAATACAAACCATTAATATTACTTAACAATTAAAATGAGTCAACAACAAAGATGTGAGCACAGAAGTGTTTTCATTTACCACTGAAAGAGCACCAATATCTTCTTGAACTATCCTTTTTTTTCTGAGGGGAAAATCATCAAATGACTTCTCCTGCCCAGGGTCGGCGGTGTCAGACTCTTATTGACTAAGAACCCCCCTGTTCCTTCTTCTGCTCTGGGCCGAGGTCGCGGTGCCTCATTGCGCTTACCCCGCAACCCCGGCTGAACATCAGCCCTATGGGGCCCCGTCTGTGGTGGTCTATGGGCTCTTTGAGGCGCGCGCGGAACACTACGCACCGTACGCTCGGGTCTGGTTCTGGTCGGGTGGCGAGCTACCCTTACTCGCCGTCCGCAGACCCGCGCTTACGGTGGCCGGAGATCATCTCTCGATCACCGACGCCCCAAAATGTCGCCTTCTGCGGCGGCTGGGGCGCGAGGAGGATAGTTCCCTCGCGCGCTCCGCCTCCTCCTTTGCGAGCATAACTGCTTCGCAGGAGGAGGAGATAACTTCCCAGTTCCTTTCGCTATAAACCATGGCCTCGATTAAGGCCGGGCGCGAGAGGTCGCCGCCGCCGATCACTTCCCTGAGTTCACGGCGGTGTTCAGCCCAGGCAGGGCATACCGCCACCGAATGCTCCACCATATCCTCTAGGTGGTCCTCACAATGACTACACTCGGGTATTTCCTTACGCTGGATCCGAAACAGGAACCTACCGAAGCTGCCGTGTCCGGTAAGCACCTGCGTCAGGCGGAAGGTGAGGACGCCGTGGCGTCTCTCAAGCCACTCCTCAAAGAGAGATCTTACCGCTGCTATTATAGCGTGCCCGGCACTCGTTCTTGAAGTATCCTAAGATATACTTGAGAAATATCCTTTCCTGTTCCTGTACAGCTCAGCTCGCCCACCAGTAGACTGTATCTTTACATGTGTGCAGTCAAATGCCCCGATCACATTTGGAAAAGAGCTAATTTTGTAGAATTCTGTTTTTATCCTTGTGCAATCTTCATGTTTACAGGGCATAGTAATCGCTGCAGATTCTTTTGTTATTATTCTACAAGCCGTAGATTTGTGCACTCTCACCAACCGTAATTTGAAATGCTCATGTAGCATGGTAATAGCTTATTGTCAGTAGCACCTATTCCAAAGCACTGATAGAATGGTTCCTCAAAGTGAACTGTTTAATATTCGGATCTAATATGTTAACTAGTAATAGCACAAACGCCTTTGTCCGTTGGTTGGTACCGATTCTTAAATTCCCCTTCATTGTAGAAATCAAACGGATTCATTCTGGTCTTAAATCTTTATCGCTGCTGGATGTGCTGATACTCATATTGCTACTATCCGAAAGAGACATTATCGTAATCTAAAACCAGAATCAATGTAAGTTAATCAAGATATCAAATAATTTACACTTACAAAGAAAATGATATTATTACAAATATAATTTCGTAATAAATATTTCTGTTTAACATACTTTAAAAAAAATATACTTATTTGAAAAGAAAATGTAGACTCACGTGAAAAATCAGTTGTATTCGTAAGTTAATTCGCCAACAAGCACCGATTAGTTGACCGAGCTTTTGACAGACGAATAATCTATGATCAAGGCTTGACCAGCGTTTCAGAAACCCAAAATTGCGATAATCATTCGATTCTTGAGTTGATTTGACAGCCATGTCAACTGACATGATGGTCAAATTAGTTGATTAATCATGCTTTATGCAACCCAATTGACACTTGACAAGAGATTTAACAGGAGATTAGTTAATTTTAGCGTTGACAAGCCTTTCAGAAACCGGGCGTAACAGAGACACGTTCTTTTCTAACGGAATGAGTTACATACGATATATTGTTTTTAAATATCGTAAATGACGTCATAGCGTTCGTCACGTAGAAGTGAAGTAAGGATTCCCCACTCTAACTTTTATTCAATTTGTATGTTTGCGTCAAATATGTGTTTAAAATATCTTTTCATTTGTAACTGACGTAGAATTTTGGATACTTTGTCATCTTTCCTAAAGAATTGCTTTTGAATTTATTTAAGTAGATTTATTATATTTATATTTAAGTCATGTGTTAGTTTTCAGCGTTTAGTGTTATGAATGCAGTATGTATTGGAAATTAGTAACAAAATGAAAAATATTAGTGCTGAATAAAATTAGCTGAAGCTAGAGTGCAAAGCGTAACTAAAAATAATGCACTATGATTTCGTTTACATTCTTAATTGTATTATATGTTGAATTAAATAAAATTCATTATTGAATGTAAACAAAACCATAGTTGAAGATTATTAAAACTATGCAGCATTGTTATTTCACGCCATATTTTATTTACTCTCTCGTATAATGTGATTATTGTTATTGCCTTTGAAACCAGAATATTTCCAAAAATAAACTTTTAGGTAAAGATAGCCAGATTCCCCCCTCCCCTCTCCTTCCACTTCGTTCGAATACTGACAACGAGAACTATTATTTTGCTTTAGTAAAAACTTTATAATTTGCTTTTTTAAATCACGTGAAACAACAAAGCGGGCGCGATAGAGCGAGAGAACAAACCTATAGTACAAGCCGAGCGCGGCGGCGTCATAGTCGACGTGTCTACTGAGTTGCGTCGTGGCCCCGTCCTTACCCTGAGCCAACGTTTGCGACGACAATGGAGACGCGCTCTTACTGTCAACAATGTCCCATAACAGTGACGAACTATAGCTCACTTACTTTTACTACCGAAACGGTAGTTTTATTTTTTACGCTAGCAACTTTTTTCCGTTAACGTCAAATGCATGTTTTAGTTGGCAACACAGATGCGTGGATGATGAAAGCTGTCTGTGATTAAACAGTTATATGAACATTTTCCCAATCGCAACCAATGGAGAAATGTAAATGGTTAAAAAAATGAAAGCGTGGGCTATAGTTCGTCACGAAATCTAGAAAAACACTAACATTTAGATTTTTAAAGACACTGAAAATTGTATTGTATTTAAAGTTCTCTTAAGAATATTAAGAAGGACAACAGTTATAACTCAAACGGTGTTGGGTGCTTTATAAGATCACATATCTACGCACGCGCACCCTGAATAACACCAATAATTGAAAGTCAAAAAATTTAAATCAAAGACAGGAGAAACGTCTAACTGTTTTGACTTAGCTGTGTTATCGTCTGTGCTGTTTTCGTTACAGTGCTCAATGCGAATGCTTTATTAATGCCGAATTATAATTAATTGCTATCAATTGCCAATTAAAGCAACATGTTAATATGTGACGATTTTGAAACACCCTGTTAACACCAACATGTAGGATTTGTGTGACGGCTTTTTCTTCAAATAACATTCCATTTCTGTATATAAATGACTGGCTGTTAAGGCGGTACCAATTGAAACTAAGCCTTATATGTAAACTATTACATGCCAAATTCGAATCTCCCCACATAGCATGTTACGATATATCTTGTTTCCCTTTTGTTTACTGATTAATAAGTCACCAAATTGACTTTCTAATACATTTTCACTCATTTGCGTGGTTTTGAAGCCTTTAAATAAGAATTCAATTTCACAATCATTATTTTGGCACTTTGATTTAATATACTCAAGTTTCGAGGTTATTATATTATGCTTATTTCATTTCCACAGATAAAAATTCCTAATTTAAAAGTTTCAAAACACGTCCACGATTTATGCATAAATGTTCTATCAAGAAAGGTTACCAACAAAAAAGTTGTTATAGTTTTCAGTGCATTTTTTCATTCACCAAGAAATACTATATAATATACTCTATAGAACATTTACACTTGGAAAAATATACAAAAAAAATCTATTAAGAAAAAACACCTAGACATCAATATTAAAAAACCTATACATCGATTATTAAACCATGATTTTACAAGTATATGACACTTACCTGGCACTTTCTTCACTCATCAGTGATATATGGCAGTTCCATCCTGATTCTAGGCCCATTTTCTCGCTAAACACTCTAGATCTTAGTTCATTTTCTTTGCTAAAGTGCACAAAACGTATACAGGCTCGTTCAAGCCTTTCTATTAGCTCTACCATATCACTTTGGGCTTGATACTGCATGGTCACCATACCTATGAAAACCTGAGAAGTTTGATAGATAGAATTAAAGAAATATAATTTAAAAATTGATCTTGTCATGCAAATGGCCGATAACTAAGAATATTTCTTTTTAATAAAAACGTTGCCCAATACGATTTTCTCCTGTGCCGTGGGCGAGTTTACCAACATTCAATTTCACAAACACATTATACTCAGACCCGGAACACCAATTTGTGGATCACACAAAGTTGTTCCGTTGCCCAGCCACCGCGCCAACCGTGCAGTCGAAAGAACAGATAGCGCAAACGACGGAGAAATGCAGAATTAAATACTCTTTTCTGCACCACCCACAGCTTCGACTTAGAAAAATTGGCTAAGGTTTATCACCATAAAAGAAGAAGAAGTCTGATTAGGTATAAGTGCACGAAGCTAAATAAATATATAAGTATATTGTTTTTTTTGAAGGAGCAAGTTGTCCGTGTTCTTTTTCCGGCCTGGGTGTATCGAGAGGGAATTTCAGATATCCCGACAGGGCCTCGGTACATCATTGCTCTTATATATTGAGACAGCTTAAAGAATGAGGCCAAGGTTAGCACTCATTTCCAAAAAAATGTAAGGAAACCGTTTCTAGTTTTTACAATACATAAAAAGCTCACTTACTTGATTACACTGCATATCGAAGAATCCATCAGCGTCCTTAACATCTTCATCAGTCACTTCGTTAAATAACAACGAGTCTGTAACACATAAAAATATAATTAACAAATATAACATAACATTAACCCGTTAACCCCCGTAGTTGGAAGCAGAGGCAATGTCATGCAGACTAAGATAAAAACAACATTATTTTTGGTACAAATTAAAAAGTAAAAAAACAACAAATGACATAATCGAGAATCGAATGGCGATGTTGATGGGATTTAGTTGTTGAAGGAATTTTACAGTTTAAAACATTTGTCTTTTTAAAATTTGTTAATTTGTATGTAAGAGCAGCGCTGGATTAGCACAGTCAGCTGCGAGACATTATTCGCTTTTTTTGCCAATGAACCTCAACGACTTTGCGAAATTGTTGACTAAATGAAAAATTCACCGAAAAAAAGAAAAAATAAAGAAATATGAAAATTTTGTCAAATTGTCAAACATGCGTATACATGAATTTGAAGGATAGTGTGATTATTTAGTATTTAAGACTATAAAGCTAGTTGGTTAATCCGGCCCTGCATATGCCTAGGTTATGATTGTTTTTCTAATCTTCTCAAAGAATATTACCAACGTATATGTAGATACATGCCATTCCTCTTAAATCTACATACGAGTTGTACCTACTTGTAACAATGCGATGCTGCAGTGTGCTCATTCAATAGGGATGTTTCTTTAGACAAAGTGAAACTGATACAGCTTATCAATACATTACATTATTAACGTAAATTTTACATTTTCATCAATTGATATTTAGGTCTGTCTTTTTTTCTAGCTTTTATTTGAAAAATGGACGGAAATAAATTATGTCACCAAATATATTTTTATATACATTTATAGGATTACTGGTCATTAGTGACCGATATTTAAACACATGATAACAATAAACTTTCCCAAAGAATCATTTTTTTTTTCATTACACATAAGTTTTATTTTTATTATATGATAATTATATGTTTGCTTTACACTCATAAAAAAGTTATAAGAGTTTTCCCGTGCATTATTTAAAACAAATCACGACAATTGATATTTCGGAATAAAAATTGCAATTGACCATTTAGAAACATCCCTATAAGCAAAAATTCCTGGTCCCTTATTGAAAAGTTTGTGTCACTTACTTCTAGAATCAGAGTTGGTGTCTGATGGTCTCTTACCAGTGGAGTGGAAATGTAACGCGGGAGCGTCAGCCCAGTGTTGAGATAGGGGCGCGTACAGCTGTCTACTGTCAGCTGGGAGCTCTAAGTACATCGCTGAGAGAGACGATGATATCCCACGGGTCAGGGGTCTGAAATATACATCACATATTTAAGTATTCGTAACTCTTATCCCGAAAAGGCCGGCAACGTTTTCGTAACTCCTTTGGAGTTCCCGGTGGCCATGGACGGCGCGGATTGCTTACCATCAGGTTATCTGTCTGCTTGTTTGCCGACCTATCTCATAACGAAACTATGTGTGCAGTGTGTTTACGGCAGAGTAGAACAAAATTGATTGTTTTTACCACTTCTATTGTTTTCGCGGATTATACGGATGCCTAATGATCCCCCATCCATATATCTCCATATACTCATATGCCCATTTCTCCCACCCCCAAAAGGCGGGCAAGGCGTTTAACTCTAACATTGTTGCTAGTGTTTATGGGTGACGCCGATTGCTTACCATCAGGTGATCCACCTGCGAGTGGCGCCAAAAAGGGTAATACGTACTTGTAAGCGAAGGCAGTACAATAAGCCGTGAGTGAGTTTCTTTGGTAAAAGTCTATGATCTTCTTGCGGTCGGCAGGGGATATCGGCGTGAGGTCACGCCCGTTCCAGTAGTCCACGCACGAGTCTAGTATTATATCTGCAGTACCCTGCAAGAGAATAGGAATTCAATTATAATATGAAACAGACATTATAATTGTGGGAGAGCCAAGCTCAAGGCCAAGCAGTCGTACTGAGCCGACTCATGTAGCGAATGCCATATAATGAGTGAATAGGCTCTTAATAAACTAGTGCGCCTTACCATCAACGATTGCATCACTACTTACCATCAGATGGGATCGCAGTCACGCACTAGTTTATAGCAAGTAAAAAAAAAATAATAATAATACGTTATTTAATAAATAAACATTTACCTGTGTAAGCATCTGTAGTTGATTGGCCTGGTCCTTCACGATGACGGCCAGCATGTGAGGGAGAGGAACTTTGACCTTTGTGCTTAGTTGTAGGGAGCGGACGAAACGAGTTTCACGACGGATCGTGTCTGCTTGCTGGATAAGAAAAAAAAAACAAATTAAAAAGGGAGATAACTTTGGTGAAGAAATCATACTTATATAAGGCTTGTTTGTAAAGAAAACCTTTCGTATAAGTAACTCTTATTGTATTCCTTATTATTACTCTCTTTAAGAACTTTAGAAGCATGATGTTTTTAAACTGATGGTAATTGGGTAGTTTCCTATGTGGAAAATAAATCGATCGATCAATTTAGTAAGTTTTAGATATTTTGTTACAAATTAAGAAATAAAATAAGTAAGCTATTTGACGTAAAAATACTATGACGTCATAACTCAGTTCTTCATATAAATTTCATAGAAAAGTATCGTTTTTGACATTTGGATATAAGTATTGAATTCGACTATATTTTATTGATATTACTACCATATTGTAAATTTAACGATTTTTCTTCCCCTTTTTGGCTACATAACTTTTATATTACCCACTTTCCTTTAATTTTGACCTTATCAAGCGATTCTTGCTCAACAGAGCCTACGTGGTTGCAACAAAAACAAAGATAAATTAATAAATAGCATAGAAAACTTACCAATTGTCTGAATATCGCAAGGCATTCTTGTACTTGGTAGGAGTCTGTGACAGAATCTGTGAATCCAATTTGCTTGGCGAGCTCGCAGAGACAGCGTCTATTCGTTACAGGTACTAGGTCTTCACTGTAAAAACGTCATATTAAAATGAGTCAAAAAATGTATGTAGGGGGTAATCTTTGGAACCACTGGTCGGACTACCAAAATTCTTTCACTTATTGATAGCTACAATGTTCCCGAGTGCTATAGGCTATAAATACACCATGCTACAATCAAATGGAGCCGAGCAGCGAGTGAAACCGCGCGGGAGTAGCTATGTTTAATACTTTAACGAAGATGCTGTTTCAATGTTAGCAGGATGTATGAAATGTCAAATTCTCGTATCAGAAGTATCCATTTCGGCTGTCTGTGTCAATGAAAATCTTATACATATAAATTTTTTACAGCTTTGCACGTATGTACCTACCTATTTGGTAGATCTGAGTCGCGGCTACTGGCAATTTTTTATATCTATAAAAGTGATAACGGTTGTTGACCTTTAAATTTTGTAAAGCCGATTTCTTAAATTATATGTAATCATCAATATCATTGTTTTCATGTTAAAAGTATGTTATGTTACTAATATTATAAATGTGAAATTTACGATGTTTGGATGTCTGTTACTGAATCACTCCAAAACGGCTGGACGGATCTGGATGAAACTTGGCACACAGGCCTACTTTTTATCAACGTACCAAGCGGGCGATGCCGCGGGCGGAAAAGCTAGTGAATAATAAATATCAGTGTACCTGTACTGAGCCTCGCAGGTGAGATGTGCACAGAAGTGTGCGTAGGTGTGTCGCGGCGCGGGCGCGCACGTGTTGAGCAGCGCGGCCAGCCCCAGCGGCTTCAGCCGCGCCAGGTGCTGCCGCCAGCGCTGGTCGTCGAACTCCACGCAGAACGGCGCGTTCTGGTCGTGCGTCAGGTCTAGCACCTGCACATTTTCACATATGGCTTATTTACTTCATTCTCTCTATCTCACAGAAGTGTCCATAGCAGAATAAAAGCAGCTGTCAAATAAAAACTAAGGTTGTTGCCATTCTCAAGCTCTCTCTCTCTCTCTCTCTCTCTCTCTCGCTCTCTCTCTCTCTTTGAAACATTACTCCACACTACGATTTTCTCCTGTGTCGTGGGTGCGATTACAAGCATACAGTTTCACATTCACATGTCACTCAGACCGCCAACAAGCATTTGTGGATCGCACAAAGAATTATTCCGTGCGGGTTCCCGCACACGTTTACACGTTGCACGGCAGCCAGTTGCCCAGCCACCGAACCAACCCAACAATCAGGATAATGGAAGATAAGCCAATAAAATATAAGTAATGCATAATTCAATCAAAATATTGCATTTCGCATTTTGGTGCGTAAGCGAATAGCTGCCCAATTTTTAAATCGAAATGTGAATTAACTATGATTTGCACTACCAGTTTCAAGTAATTACAGGACTCACTACAGGTATTTAGCTGTGCGACGTCGCCGCGAAACGGACACTACTCTTCTTCCGATAGTTAGATTGAAAATTATCTAAAAACTTTAATTTTCACAATCTGAAAATATTATTTGTAACAAAATTACTTTAAATAAATAACTGTGAATATTTCTCCACTCACCTCGACAATAGTGGACGGTTCAGCAGTCTTGGTGCCTTCCACGGGTGCGTCAAGATTTTCGTCGCTCTGATGCCCCATGGAACCCACCAGGCTGGTCTTGCTGGAGTTGTGTGATGATGGACTGGAGTTACGGAGAAAGAACACCTTCTCCGCTGTGGGGTTCGGCCAGGATAGAATGCCTTTCTTGTCGACACAACTCAGGGCCTGGGAAACGGAAAAAGTACAAATTAGCTAAATAGAAAACTATCGTTTATTGGAATTCCAATCACTAAACGCAAATATTTGTTATACGTATTTTGATTTTATATTTTCCTGCGTTAAAACTACGTTATTTCCAGGAGCTTATTAGGTGTTTACTTATATCAGTTTTGAGCTTAGTCGTGATCTTTTTTAATAAGATTTTAAATTGTGTTTTACATAAAAATGTATGCATGATGTGTTCCCCTGTAACTGGAGGAGTAAAAAACCTTTTTTAATATTGCATGTGTTGTGTATCCGTTGTTCCTTACTGAATACATAAAATATCAATAAAAAAGAACAAACAATTAAACTTCAAAAACAGAAATATCTGGACATACCGACAAGGATCCCAGCACATGAACAATGTTGGCAGTTCTGCAGACCATATCCTCTCTTCCAGTTAGTATATTGAAGAACGTCTTCCCCAACGACTTGAGACTCTCCGGCTGAAGGTTGGACTCACTCATCGCTTTTATTAAGGGATCGCTCGCATCCTCTGATATGGAACACGACTTTGGACGGACGTACTTCTGTCTGGTCTCCGATAAAAGCTTAAATCTATAAGGAAATTTAATAAGGCATTAGTTATTAGTACCTACATGATTTAAGTGGCTCTACGTTATAGAGAATTTGGGATATTTTTTTTATAGACAGATGATTGTATAATGTACACAATTTATACAAAATAAATCAAGCAATTGTAACGTATTATGCATGCTTAATGGGCGACCCTACAGCTTTGCGACGTTTCCGATATTTTATTTTGTATATCTCTCCAAACATGTGCCCACTTTTAGACAAAACAAAAATTAACTCAGGCATGTTGGCTTTTCTTTTGCGGCGAAAAGAAATGTTAGAATCTAACTGAGTAAAAACCACCATGTTCCTTATCCTGGCCATTCCGAAGCCGTGATGTATTATCGCACTTGACCAGCAACCGCAGCTAAACAAGCATGTACGCTGAGACACAACAAGCATCTATTACATGATCAACAAAACATCTATTAAATACAGCGTAAGACAAATACAAGAAAAACATTCCTACTTCCTACTGATATTATAAATGTGAAAATTAGTGACAATGTATGGATGTATGTTTAAGTATTATTCTTCTCGCTAAAACGCCTAGACCGATTTGCTTGAAATTCGGTTTGTAGATGGGTTGGGTTCGGTTTGTATGTAGGATGACTTGGGCCTCAAGTCTGCTATTATAATAGTGTCAGAATAGTAAATCATTGGTTTCAAAATTGTTGATTTTGACAAGTTTGGTAATCTACTAACACGATAACGTCATTACGACTTTCCAATGCCATTTCATTGAAAAAATTCTTTAGAACGGTAATCTCGTACATAATGACAAATGAATATGATACATTCCACGCGAGCGAAGCCGCGGGCAGAAGCTAGTTTAAAATGAAGAATCTACTCACCGAGCTAGACCGAAGCAGTTCAACGTTACCCAAGCGATGGGGAAGACAATCTGCAGCAGGGGTAGTGATGCAGCAATGGTCTGCAGGAAGTATATCTCAGTCCAATGTGTAACTCCTGGCAGGTGGTACACGTGGCGCACGAAGCTCGCGATCACCACCAGAGATATCACCAGCGGCAGGACTATGCCTTCCATTATTTTTACTGTGCACTGTAATGTATACAATTTTATTTGTAATATGTTTTATTTATTTAAAAAAAAGGTTTACTACCACTACTAGAGTTTTTTCTTATTTCGTGTAAGGTATAATTTTCACATCCACGTGACACTCATATCCGAAACAATTTGTGGATCACACTGAAAATTGTTGCGTACGGGAATAGAACCCGGGACATGTTGCGCGGCAGACTGTTGCCCAATCACCAACCGTGCAGTCAAAATATGAAATATGCGGCGCCTTAAATGCCCACCGTGTAGTAATAAAGTGTAGTATAAAATATGGATGGATATTCCAAAAACAATTTGTAGATTAAATTAAGCTTATGGATCGTTTAATGTAAAACTATACGACATAGGAATTAAAAGAGATTGATCCTGATGGTGTGAAGAGAAACATGGAATAGGTATATAAGTAACTTATTCTTTCCAATTTCATAGGTAGGCAATTAATGTAATGGAAATAGATATATAATAAATATTTAAATTACACATGCCTATTTTTTCGCCGATTTCCTATTTAACCCTAAGGTTGACTGGGAGAGAATGCCATATGGCATTAATGTCCGCCTTATGTACCATCACTTGTTTTGTGTACATTAAAGTTTAAATAAATAAATAAATATTGATCATGGTTCTCTGTAAATGCTGCCTCACTCATCCCCTTTGGACAAACTTAATTATATTATGTATACATGTATCAAGTCCTACTTACCAAGTATCTTTGTTTCTCAAAAACTGTCACAGGCCTTACAGTGGCCTGTTCTAAAGCCAATTTCAGGTTCTTCAGGTATGGAGTCTCACACATTCTGTACGCTTTATTACGATGTGGAGTTCTTACTCTTGGTGTGCTAAAGTTGTCTTTTTGCTGTAATAAAAAATGAGGAACTGCATTTTCTGGTGATTTTGACCATGCCGTGAATTAGGCGTCAAGACGTGTCAAATAGCAAAACTGTATGACTAGAATCAGTACTGATATAGTTTTATAAATAACCATAACCCCAGAAAAGAAATGAATCAACTATGTAATAGAATAATAATAATAACCAGAGAGAAAATATTTACTACCAAATTTAACAAATATTAAAAATACCTATTATTTTCTATTTTTGCGTTAAAATTGCATTCTGGTGAAGTCATGAGTAATTTCATTTTATATCTAACTTATTACCGGCGTTGTAGGCTGGAAGATTTGTCCAAAAAACTGTTCAGGGTCTTCCGGCTGCAATCCACGGCAATGACCCGGTACTTCTTGGCCAGGTCTTAGCACAATGACGTCTCCTTCTACCAACAGAGCCCATGGAAGATTTACTATTGTCGCTGAAATTTAAAAAGATAATTATAAAATACTAAGTATAAATTTCATTCCATTGTTTTAAAAAATTTGGGACAGCTAAGCTTCGGCACGAATGGGTCAGCTCGACCGGAGTGATACCACACCACGTCCTCTCAGAAAAGCAGCGTGAACAACCACAGCGTTGTGTTTCGCCGTGTGAATGAGGTTACCGGAAGCCCTATTCCTCCTACTCTCCTCATCCCTCCACAATCCTTTAATGACCGAAACCCTTATCCACAAAAGGCCAGCAACACACTCGTAGCTCCTTTAGTGTTGCAGGTCCATTAGTTCGTTTGCCAACCAAACCCATAAAAAAAATCAAAAATCATCAACATATTATTAAAATATATGTTTTGATTTCAGGCCGCAATTCATAGAATGTCATTCTATACTTCTATAGGTATACAGTTATGCAAATATTTTACATACTTTTTTAATGATATGGGGTTAATGAGCAAAAGAATCAATCAATCTAATGTTACGCCACTCATAGGCAATCGCACAAGTGCGTTGTGGGAGTTTTAAAATTGAGAATTTGGAGGTCACTCACACAACAATTCAACATAGGGATTGTTTCACAAAGGCTTTCTGAGAGGTTGTAGTGGCACTAAGCAAGACAATTGAGCCAAAGCATAGCCATTAAAAATATTTTGATCAACCAAAATAACAATAAAATTTCTTACAGTCCCGATAAGTCCATTGCAGGATAACACAAGGTGAGAAGGGAGCACATAAATGTGGATAATGATTCTCTTTCCATTTTGAACTCTCTATGGCCTCGTCCAATGTTTCTGGAATTCATAAAAATATCATTTAAATTTCCTACTACTAATAATTTTAATACTTTTTGCAAATAATTTAGTATATTGTGGATTTGTGGGTAAACTATATAAATATTACTAAAATTGTGCTTTCTTCTTTTAATATTACTTATATTATTTAAAATCTCATTATTACCATAAATACTGTTATTTTGTATGTAATTATAATCATCAATTTGGCATCAATATAATCTTTGTGTAGATATCTCTTATCAACAAGTCAATTAGTGCTATGAACTGACTTGGAATAACTATTCAAATAATTAAATTCCGAAGAATGGCTTTAACCACTCACAGAGCTGTGCAACATATAAAGCCGAACAGAAGTTTCTGTTAGTTGTTATAAAATATAATGTAAAAGTAAGTATTTTACCTCTTATTGTCGTCAGATGACATTTATGAATTTGTTAAGTAGGTATGTAGCAGCATAGTAGCAAATTAAAAACAATAAAATATTTTGATGTTTAAGTTACTCACCTAAAACTTTCTTTACTCTATGAGGTATTTCATTCCTGAATTGATACTCCTCATTGAATGCCACCAAGAAGTTTACTAACAATATAACTATTAGAAAAAATGCTTCCCATAATAAATAGGCATGAGCTTGCACTGATTCACCAAATATGTATGTAAGTATTAAGCAGACTATATATATCAGCGTTATTGTATAAGCAACGCCTGATAATAACACTTTCTCTGAAGAAAATGATATTATATTCCGTACTAGGCCCAACCTGAATAAAAAAAACATCGCGTTATATTAATATTATTTTTTATCCATTAAAACGTAACTGTAGGTAATTCTTGCTTCAAATATGTAACTCAAAACGACATTCCTTTTGTTAATAGAATAATTCACAATATATGTACATGGAATGTATTTAAATTAAATGAAATAAATAAAACATCAACATACCCCGTGGTATTTTTCTTCTTATGCTCTTCTATTACTTTTCGTATATCATCACGGAGTTTTATAAGCGCTGTTTTTGTTGTGTAACCCAAAGAATTTAAGTTATTATCATCCATTTTGACATTCGCCATTCACATAATTAACTTTTACAAAAATACTCTAAAATTATATCAAAGTAAATCAAAAATTATTTTTATCAACACCTGAAAGGTCGTACGGCCGTTCTGAAAGTAAAACAAAAACAATTGTTACATAATTGATGTGGCAACATTTTTTCATTAATTTGTAGAAACTGGCAACTTATTGGGATTCCCTAATTCTCGGTAAAAATATTCTCCGTATATTGCCTTCAATAAAGCTAAATTCAAAACAAAAAAATATATAAAGGTTCGAATGTGTTCACTGTGATTTTGATAAATCCTCTTAAGTTTTTGAACAAATTATCGTACTGTCACTCAAATTGTCAAAGTCACATGTTTCGTTCCTTGTTCTTGTTGTTTGATAACACAATACCTATGTGAAGGGTAACTTAAAATTAATAATATTAACATTTACAATTTTTTTAATCATTTCTCAAATTAACAGCAACAAACTTGCTTGACATGCAAACTAAGCGCGAAGAGGTTTGTTGAAAAAACTTGTTTTTGCCATAACTGCACTAATTGATTAGGCGCTCATAAGTATTTTTATCATCAATATTACTGGAAACTGCTCAATTCTTATATATGACTATATCCGAATTTTTAAAATGAGTTTGCCGGTAATAGTGGAACTATCCTTTGTTATGGCAACATTTTCTACTTTATTATTGATTTGTTTTGAACTTTAGTAGCTTTTGTGGCTAACTTCATGTAGTGTCAACGACAATGTTACCAGCCATTTCATATTTTTCAACTAAATTAAATTTGCATTCATTTATTTAGTTTTATACCAAAATATGATAATTTTTAACCTATTTGGCGAAGCCTCTGTGTACAAAGATTTTGAGTAAGGTAATGTTTGATTGGTATTTTGTTTGTTTTTTTTAATCTTGAGGAGTTTTAGAGCTATTGCTTAATGCTTAAAATATAAAAGATAACGAGTCCAAGAGAAGTCGTGTTTAAAAATCTATAATGTTTTCAATGAGATGTAGATTTAAAACATTACAACTGTTATTAGGGTAGTTGATAGACTTAAATCCAAGAAAAGGAATTTGTTTAGAATTAATTTTTTTCACCCACAGCGCAGGTACTTAATTTTGAAAAGTGCTATTCTTATTATTTAAAAGTGGATTATAAACTTTTATTTTATATTAGCTACTCTCGCGCGGTCATTACGACGATTACTATATTCACTCAGGAATATTGTAGCTATCTATCAATGAAAGAATTTTGGAAATCTGACCAGCGGTTCCAAATATTACCCCCTACATACTAACTTACAAACATACAAATTTAACCTCTTTATAATATTAGTATAGATAGCATAGATTTAAATTTAATAATGAATTAACTTAATGGGCAAATATTCACTTGGAGCTGGTAACCCTTCCGTCAATCATCGCAGCTACTCTAAGAACTGAACTGAAGTTGGCTTTTCTGAGAATTTCTGTATTCCCAAAGTTTTCTTCTATTTTATGTAAGTACTGTACTGCAAACGTTACAAAATTTTTCAGTTCTAAACCATAAATCGAGGCCCGGTCTTGCGCTTGAAACTTTTATCACGTATTCGACCCCGGATAATAGTAGCATTCGATAAATAAATGTGGTGCGCGAATAGTGACGGTACTCAGTCAGTGTGTTGTGTGTCATCGTGTTGGGACCATCGGTGCGCCATTTAGCTCGCGAGATAAAAAAAAAACAAGGAATGTGTCCATCGCCGCGATCGGTTTAGTAGTAACCAGTGCATCAATTCGTGATGGAGTGACAGATAACCGCAGCAGTGATGGCAGATTTATGTACAAATACCCGAAGAACGTGCAAAGGTTTCCGAAGGGGGCCGCAGTTTGGACTATGGATGTGGTGTATAATACTAAAATGTTTTATTTGTTTACCGTGTATTTTTTCAAAGTGTCTTGGAGTAAACATTTCGGTTGCTGTGTACCCTGATACTATGATTAAACTCCTCTATGGCCAACCTCTTGAGATCTTTTGCGTGGCTGAAAACTATACTGCTGAGAACTTGGAGTTTCACCTCGGTCGAAGAGTTATAGAGTCAGAAAAAGTGAATGCAACCACCAGGAGGTTATATATTACAGATTTGGAGAAAAATGTATACACATTTTACTGCAGGAACAATGTGACAAACAAACAGTGCACCAGCAGAGTCCTGGTGGACGACTCTCCCTCTAATGTTACTGACTTTGGTTGCATTTCAAACAATCTTGATGAACTGAATTGTACTTGGACTTCTCCTGAGATTTACAGTATAACAACATACCGGTTATCCTTTAATATTTATGGAAACTCATTTGAACCTTGCGAAGCAAAACGTGTTGGTAAATTAAGGTATTGTTCATGGAGTACCACAAGTCAACCCAGGTACAAACAGATGGAAACCCATTATTATTTCAATTTATCATCTTGTAATTATTTTGGTTGTATTGAACAGAACTTTACCATTGACCATTTCTCTGTTGTAAAGCCTGATGCTCCAGAACAACTGAAGGTTCTTAAGTTTGAGACCCACAGTGTACTACTTCAGTGGAAGATCCCTAACAACATGTATGATTTTCTACCATGTGCAGTTGTGCATAGGATAGAATACCAAATTGCTAAAATTGACAACACAGCATACTTCCGAAGTGTTGATGCCACTATGTTACCACCTAAGAACAAGACATATACATTCCTGCTCTCAAACTTACCCTATGCTCATATGTCTTATGAAGTTAGAATTTATATAAAGTCAGAATTGGCTACTGAAGATAAATTCTGGTCTGATTTCACTTATGTGTTATTTACCACAGCAAGTGAGAGGCCTCAGCGACCACCCGATACCATTGCTGGAGCATTTGTTCAATCCATTTATGAAAACAAACGCGTCATTTATGTGTACTGGAAACAGCTGGAGGAATATGAAGAGGCTGGTGCAAACTTTACCTACAAAGTTGTTGCTACAACAGGCTCCAAGAACCCTCAGACATTGTCGCCAGATAAAAACAAAAGTTTGAGTTATGTTGAGCTAAACGGAGCAACATTAGATGCTATAGATGTGACCATTTGGTCCACTAATGCAATTGGATCATCTGTAAACAGCAGTCATCTTTACATACCATCAAAATATGACACTGAAGTTTTAAGTGTATCATCCTTTACAAAACTTGCCTATGAAAATGGTACATACAAATTATCTTGGGTTGGTGTTAAAGAAATTGATAACTATACACTTTTCTGGTGTCAGCATAATACTAGTCAAATATGTACAGGTCGCATGAACTTTACTGTTTTGGATCCAAAGCAAAGCAACCATGTTATTGATTTGCCAAGAGACAGTAGATATCAATTTGCAATATCTGCTAATAGTGGCTCTAAAACAAGTGGCATGACTTGGGCATCCTGTGATATATCTAAGGATGGAATACCAATGTATGGATTCCCTGTGAAAGTGAATCATGATGCTCCAGGAAAGTCTTTTGTCAAAATTACTTGGACAATGTCTTGTACCTTACAGGAAGGTATTATAAAAGGGTATCTCATCACTTATTGCCCAGTTCTAAACACAAGCAATGTGTGTGACACCACTTATGAAAATAAATCTACATACTATGTTTCTAATCCTAAACAGATGGAAATAAACATAACTGATCTTAAACCTTATACAACATATCTTTTTACGCTAGCTCTGAACACTACTTATGGCTTAAAGACAATTGAAAATGCTTCCACTGGAGTGACCACTATTGAGGATACCCCTACAAGTCCAAGGAATGTGCGTATTTCAGATGTTCAAAGTGACTCATTAATTATATCATGGGACCCACCATTGCACAAAAATGGAATCATTGCTAAATATGTGATTGAAGATGGAAAAGGCTTAAAGGTTGACAAAATGGTGGATAAAATGACTGAGAAAGACAAAAATTCTACAAGAATATACATGAAATTGACTGGGCTTCAGGCATACCACAACTACACATTAACTGTTAGTGCATGCAATGCGGCTATAAGAAGCTGTTCTAAACATAGTCCTGATTATGGTATTTTCGTTAGAACAAGAATTGGATCACCTAGTATGCTGAAGCCGCCTACAATAAAAAATAAACCTGATTCTTTGATGTGGGAACCACCAATCAGCCCTGGAGGATCTGTTGACCTTTACCAAATAAGAAGAGTGAAGGATGAAAACACTAACCGAGATGAAATAATAAATACAACCTCCTTGTCTTATAGTTTGACACATTGTGAAGGGGTAGATGAGAGTGAAACTTATCAAGTTAGGGCTGTTAACTTTGATGAAGATCCTTATTACGGTATATTAGCTGACAGACCTGAAGTAGCTTTACCTTTAAAACAAAATAGAAAGTTTCTTGAGTACCCTGGGCCATGGAGTCCTCCTGCTTCAGTAGCTTGCAGAAGCAAGGAAGGTCTAACTATGCTTGTTATCCTGATCACTATATTTGCCCTTATTGGTATTATGTATGGTTCCATAAAATTGTACAAAAAGTATAGGAAGATGGAAGATATCAAACCTGTTCTTCCAAGTGGTTTAGGTATACCTGAGAAAGATATTTCCAAATACGCTTTTGGAGGTTGGAATCCTACTAATAAGGATGATAAACCATCTTCTGACGAAATGTTATTGCTACCAAACAGTAGAACTACTGTTTCAACTCCAGAAACTAAACAGAACAGTGAAAATAACTGTGGTTCTAGTGACCACACGGACAGCACTGCGCTGTCAGATACGTCTCGAGGAGCTATCGAGCGTCAGGCTTCCACATCGGACGATGGCTCGGACTCGTCCTTGCATTTAGAAGTTGAGGCCGTGAGGACTGACGATAACATTGCAACGCAAGATGAGGATTCTTCAAACTCAGAAACTGACAATTCCAGAGAAAACTCTCCCTACTTTAGTGACAAATCGTTTAAGAAAAATCCTAGTGGCTATGTGCAGCCCGTCGCGCCCGTAGTGAATCCAGTAAGTGGCTACGTACAATCAGCGCCGGCACCACATACAAGCCCACATGCAAAGCCTGCGTCACAGCCTACCAGCTCAAGTTATGTAATGGCTGCACTGGCACCGCCGATATTCACCACTGGAGTAGCGCCGCCCAGCGTTCCCAGTCAACCACCAGCCTCATCGGGTTACGTAATGGCTGAAGACGCTCAAGCGAAGTCTATGATGAACTTCCCCAAGCTAGGGCCTTCGCCTACTAAAGTTTTCGGGTCCGAAAGCTTGCCGATTATGCCTACCTTGCCACAGCCAGTGAAATCCGGCGCGGACAGCAGCTATATTCAGTTGCAGTCCTTAGACGCCTTGCCTAGTCATAAACAACCGGCACGCAATACAGTGCCGTTAAAACCACCGACGTCGAACGGTTACGTGAGCCCCGGAGACGCGGTCATAAACAAACATCTCAACAACATGTTGTCGGGCGGCCAGCTCGAGGAGTCCGCGATACTGGACCCAACGATGTCACCTGACGCGTATTGCAGATTTTCTTGGAGCACTGACCCTGCGAATGACAATCTTCACTCGTTACTCGCCGACTCGCACACGTTGAACTTGTCGAAGAATTGAGCCCAACATAGCATAAAATAAGTGACACAGTACTGATAAAGTAGACTTTTAGTGACTGAGTTGTAAATAATGAACTTTAGGAGCTTTACGAAGTGCTATAACATTATTGGACATAATATAATACACACAAGAATGTGGATGTGTTGTCTAGTGATAATTCTTGTGCCTTATTAATTTATTTTAGGTGATTTTTAAGAAGCTTAGTAGGTAAGATTTCACACAGCTTTAAATAATGTAGAAGTATGACATTCGTAGAAGAATTTGTTTATTCGCATTATTTCGCCGTTAAACCTCGGCGGGCGTTACAAAGCGTGATGTTTGTTACAGAAATTAAAATACGCGCGTTAGAGAGGTTTAAAAATGGAGGGTATATATAAAATTAATTTAGTCCCAAGTGATCTGAGCGTTGAGGAGACGATACTGCAGATAGCAGACACTCTGGATAATCTCAATGGTATCGTAGACGATGTATTTGCAAGGCTGACAACACGAATTGAACAGAACATGGACAAGACAATGAAACTCCACGAGAGAATAGAGATGTCAAGGTCGAAAGTAGAGAAGTTGACTGGCATGCAGAAAGCAATCAAAGTCTTCTCGAGTGCCAAGTACCCGGCCGCAATAACTCATGAACATTATCATTCGGTTTTCGACGCAGATGGTTACCAGCACAAACCGAAAAAAGTTACTCTGAGTGGAAAAACTCAGGGGCAGTTTAATGAAAAGGAATTACAGGTGAGTCAGTTATGTATCTATTTTTCTACCATATTTACAAATTAGGTACCTACTATGTTAATAGGATAGGGCGGGCCACGATCAGACGGGTCATCTGATAATGCCTAAGTATTCGGGATGGTATCAATCCATGACGACCTGGCCCATTCGTACCGCAGCATGGTACTTTGTTCAGCCGGGGTTGCGGGGTAAGCGCAATGAGGCACCGCGACCTCGGCCCAGAGCAGGAGAAGGAACAGGGGGGTTTTTAGTCGGTAAGAGTCTGACACTCCCTCCCGCCCGGCCCTGGGCGGGAGAAGTCAATTGATGATTTTTCCCCTCACAAAAAAAGCATGGTACTTTGTAAAGCAACTTGCCAAATTAAATCTGTGTTTTGTTGCTTTTTGTTTAAGTATGTTCTTTACTTACTAGTCAAAGTACTTATGGTCATCTTTGTGCTGGAACCTAGTTCGTTGTCTGTACATGTGTAGCAAGAATATGTTCATTTGATTTGCATAGATCAATCCGGTAGTTTGATATACGGATTCATAATAACTTTCGATAACTAACTTCGTATGAATAGTTATTATCTATAGACGTACTGCTTATTACTTCTTCAAAGGGAAAACCCAGTTAGTCATGAAGCGGTCGTTTTCCCTAAAAGTTTTGATAATATGCTCATTTTAAGTTATCTGTCTTAAGCACATGTTCAACGCCTTCTAGTTTGTTGAGATTATTATAATTAGGCTCTTTAACAATATAAAAATCGGATTTATTGACAAAATATTGATGATACTGTTTCATTTTAGGAGAAACTCCATTTCTACCACGTGAAAGTGGCAGAACCTAAAGACTCAAGGCCTAAACCAGATTTCAATTTGAATAGCGTGATTGATAAACTATCGAGTGTCGGTGACTTGCTTATATTTAACACTGACGAGAGTCCTTATCTGGGCACTACTCGGCCAACGGCTGCGTACGTACCAACAGTGACCTCTAAGGTCGAGAGTAAGAGCCTACTGGAAGCGGCGCCTAGCTCCATCGTGAACAGAGATGTTCTGAAGCGTGATGCGGATGAATATCTGTATGCACCAGGAATGGGCATGGTAAGTGTGCACTTTTTAAGCCAATTGTTTGTAATGGGACATATTTTCTTCCTGTACAAATTTGCCTTAGTTTTCCGTAAGCTGAAGTGCCGTAAGTGAATATGCATTACCACCAGGTGCCGGAGCTGGAAATGCCACTAGACCTTCCACATTTACCGGGCATAGCAGGCGACGTGCAGTTCTCAAACACTACTAACGGATCGATAGCCCCATCCGTTGTAACATCGCCAGTGGCGCAAGTTATGCCTGTACCGGAGTTGGAACTCCCGGACTTGAAAGAATTACAAGATGTTAGTGGCCCAAAAGAAGAGGTGAATTTGCCAGTGTCGGTGGTGCCTGACATCCCTGACGCACCACCTCCACCGCCGCCTGCGCAGGCCTTACCGCCTCCACCGCCACCGCCGCCCCCTCCACCACCACCGATGGACGTCGCGCCCCCTGTCGATATCCAACGGTAAGTCTTTCAAAATTTCAAGTACACTTAACTAACATTTTTTGGGCGGTCACAAAAGTAAATAGCTCTTATTAATGCAGACTCGCGATGTGTACTCTGCTTTATACACCTTGTTACAATATTTATCGAATATTTATTTATTCTATAAATAAAATGATGTTAAGGTTATCAATCGCCGCCGCTTCGGTAAAGCTGTAATAGATTTACCCACTGTGGGTTAAGGGCTAATTAAGTAGATATAATGTGACTTCCGCATATGTTCATATTACAATACGTATCTGTATGTTTTGATGCACTGAAGTTGGTCAGTTTAAATTAAACCAGCTAAGGACTTCATAAGAAATGGAAAATCATGTAAAATCCGATGAATATCGCCTAAAAATAACATTTTAAGTAAGCACAATGTCTTCCCCGTGTCTATACTTTTTGTGTAACGGAATTTCTTACTTTTTTTCCATAAATTACGTTTCTAAGGTAACTAAACTTAGCGTAGATTGGATTGTATTGTTTGGTATATTTTTTTTTGTTTTGTTAACGTGGAAAGTACCAATTTATTGGAACAATTAGAATACGAATGTTTGTTTTCATCATTATCTTTCCTATCTCCATCGATGTGCTAGTAGTTACTGATGTATTTGAATAGGTGTAACAATTTGTTCTACTGGCCGAGGAGTTCCTGAAGTGTGTACTTACGTCACCTGTAATTGTTCGTTCCCTTTTGTTAATATTAAGGGGCTGAGCAATTCCAGAAGATGTTTGAACAGACTCGTCGTCCGTCGCCGCCGCCGCAACGCGTCACACTAAGCTCCCCATTATGTATTCGCATTCGCACATAATAATACGCTTTCCTACTTCATCATTCATTTTCTTTCTATTGTTATGTTACGTAATTATAACGGAAAATTGTTCATTTTCCACTCTTTAATTCACGTCTATCTCGAAACATTCGCGAAATGTACTTATTGTATAATTTCGCGAATGTTCTAAGACGCGTTCGGTTTATTTCAACAAAAAATAAGCATCGGATTCCTCAGTGCTAACATATGTTTGTTTTTTACCCATCAAGGCCCACATTAGCCTTATCATGTATCGTTACCTGATTTTTTTGTGGCCGCCCCTTGCCATATGTGTTGTGAACAGATTTTTTCAACCCTAGATAAATAGTCGTTAAGTTAATATAAATATGATGCCACTCCACTAGCGAAGTGGACTTCAAACCCGATGTATGCATTAAACATTAATGCTAAAACATATCTACTGATTGACTATGGGATTTTGTGTAATTAAATGTTCTTAATAGATGCGATTCAAAAAAGTCGTTTGGGAACATCCACAGTCGCAGCCACTAATTACCTCAGCTATTTATGACGAGTTCTATGAGATAGGAATCAATTACTCAATTAATTCATTTATTGCTCGTATAATGTTCATGTATACCACGCCACCCTTGAGCAGACAGCTTTGGGAAACGGATAGACTAGTACTGCTTCGGGACGCTGCCCACGTAAAAACGTATATAAAAATAAGAACTTTATGCATATTACCTGGTCATTTTGCCGCGTGAGCCATCTAAGGTAGTCAGGTCGGTTAATTAGAGCTTAAGTATCAGAGAAAAGAAAACAAGCTGATTACATAATTTGTGTTATAAGGTGCGACGCATCTTGGCCGAGAGCGCCATATCGTACAATATACTGAATATTAATGGTTATTGTATTAAATGCATTAACTTCTCACGCTAATAGTGTGGGAATATTCAAATTGAAATGTTTGTAATTTGGTTTAAATCAGGAGTTATTCTCATAGTTCTGAGTACGAGCCACAAGAGTGCCGGTGCTACGTTTCAGGGTTCGCCGCCAGCCGCGGTTCCCAGTAGATGCATTGAATTACATGAATTGTAAGCACCTCGCTACAAAAGAAAGGCGCTATAATAGATACAGTTTCTTAGAAACATGTAAATCGCCGTGTTTTCCACCTCTGGATTAGAGTTATGGGTCACTTGACCCCTGTTTACTCCATCAATGGAATATTAAATAGCTCTAAAGTTGTATAAACAAGGTCTGCCGTGATTTAAAGAGCTTCATAAAATAAATGTTTGTTTTATGCGCGGCGTGTGCTTACATGACAAGTGGAGTAAAGAGAACTCACCGTCAGTTAATTGTAATAAAGTCAATATTTACTCGGAAAATTGAGCGGATTAAAAATAATAGCTCTGCAGTATCACCCAGCTCCTCGTTTGTGTTCTCAAGAGCCTCTTATTATGGCCACGTTATTATGAATGCAAGCTTCCAATAATGTAACAATACACGGGGTGGTTTTTAGATAGTAAGTGTGTGACACTCTCTCTCGCCCAACCTCGGACGGGATAAGTAACTTAATGATGTTACACCTCAAAAAAAACTACAAGGGGTATCAATCATGATCTCCAGTGACATAAAGTAGTCTTCTAAAATGGTTAGCAAATTGAAAAAAAAACGAGTTTAAGCCAATACTATACCTAATCTGAGCTCACGGCAATTTAGTTGATTTCATTCGTAAAATCGCCTGTGGTGTATTCAGTGTCCCCTGTCTGCTTAGGTCCTAAGAGGATTAGTTATAATTAATGCTCCGGAGTCCTCCCAAGTATTGTGCCGACCACTTTTTTCGTAAGAACGCGTGTGGTAAGAAATACAGAATTATCTACATACATTATATTGATCAATAACAGCCTCTGGTATGTATTTAATGAAAGATTGTAATTTAAGATTGTTCATCATGAACCTAATTAATTAGTCGTCTTAAGGAATAATTTCTACGCGTAATATATTGGAGTGAAGGAAAAAATTTGCAGCTGCTAATCAGGCTGGTGTGGTGTTACTTATATGGTTGTGGGGTGATTAGTGGTTGTTGTTTACTGTTAGGGGTCCTAGGTGGCGACACTGGGAGATAATCAACATAGATAATAATCAATATAGATGTGTGCTAACTTGTTGAATATTAAAAGAGTTGCTTTTTAATTAACTTCTATAAGTTTAATCGTATCGTCATACGATGGGTTTTAACTGCATACATTTCCAAACGAACGGGTTCTTTGCGCAGGTGCTAGTAAGTCGGTGCTATTTTCAAAAACCGTTCGGTTTCAGTTTACACGACTCATTAAATTGTACGTACTTCGTTATTAATGCAAGCACTAGAGTATGTCGATATCAAATACAATCTTGTCACGAAGGCAGATGTCTATCAATAATCTTCAACCTATCTAGAAATACCGCTTGTCTAATAGAAAAATATTATCAATAATGTTATATTTATATCACAAAAAACATTAAACATGATTTTTTGATGATGTCGTGTTCATAGGTGAAGCTAGGAATAATTTTCTAATAAATAGACAATCATAGATAAGGTTCTAGTTGAACTAGGAATTGGAAATAGGAAATAGTCACGTTCTTTACACAAAATAGTCGAGTCGTGATAGACCGTTATGCACTTATCTAAAATATCTACGCATAGATTTTACTATTTTCTAGGTGTCGTATGAAATGCACATTTCTTAAAATCTTATCGTATAGTACCTAGTACCTACTTACAGTATTCCTAAAGCGATATGTTGTGTTTGTACATTGTTGCTAAACTCTTTTTAATCTTCTGTTATCAGTAAGGAGTTTCTAGTACTTTGTTATGTCACACCAATAAAATCAAAGATAAAAGTATCGTGCTCAATTAGTGTAGCCTATTGTCTCATATATCGAACCATCGCGATCGTTTTACAATTTTAGCTACACATTTTGAAACAAAAATAATTTTCGCTAGCATCAATATAAACGACTATTAATAAGTCGGCTCTTCACACTGACGAAGAATATAAACATTTACTTTTAATTAAAATACACAAATAGTGTTGTGTAGGCCAATTAGTGTAGAAGTACTGAAGCACTAGACTTTCGAATATTCGAGAATAAGGTGCCTATTTACAAACCGCACGGCTTTCTCGGTATCGTGTTCTTAAGTAGAAACAGTCGTTTTGAAAACAAACGGCGTATGTTCCACATAACGATGTACTGTACAAATAATATTAATGTTTTCTTTTTTGTGTTTCTGCGGTTATCGGTACAAAATAGATGATCATTATTGTATTTGTAGCTACAGATTAGGACGAGTTGCAAAATGTGGTGTGTGTGGTGCCGCATTTTAAACGTTTTCCATGAAGCAAAATTGGCATTGCCAATGTGTGAAACTGGAATAACGCAGCTGTTTCCAGTCGTTGCTTAAAATGAAGCGTGAGAACCGAAGACAACACGGTCGCAATCCGCTCGAGATCATGTCGGATTAAATTGCCTCTATCCATTTCAATTAAAGAGGGAACCTGCAGAGCGACCGCTTCCAGCAGCCGCTGCAAATCGGTACATGTTGACAAAGCTGGGGTGACATTTCTAAAGATATCTGGACGTCAGATGTCAGATCCCATAGGATACCCAATTAACCGTCGGCAGAATGTATGTGACGCGCACCTCATTGTAACTGAATGTGAGTTAGAGCCGTTTCAACCCAATTACTGTTGTCACCGACTACTGATCTGTCCTCCTATAAGGGAAAATAAATAGATCGACAGTTTTTGCTGTGACCAAAGCGTATTCAACTATCAATCTGGAACTAGTTTCAAAGAATAGTGTTAAGTGAATTTGTAAAATGGCCGCGTTCATAGAAAGTTGAAATACGATTCTTTAACTGTTACGATGTCTGTTGCTTTCCGTGTATTTGTGTACTTTTTTATTTAGCTTAGTGGTACTAAGTGATTTACAAGAATATTAACATTAATTGGATCTAATTTCGAACGCTGTCTCAACATGACTAGTTTCTTTATTAAGTTTGTTGCATTTAGTTCAATATTTATTGTTAACCTCAACAGTAAGGTTATCTTGTGGTGTTTTAGAAGTAAGGATAAAGTATTGTATTGAAGTCATTTCCAGTTCGCGACATTTAATTACCCGCTGTTACCAGAACGCAACCTAGGCAAGGAGCGC